CTTTGTTGTATGAGGTGACAAACCTCTCCTTCTTGATAGGTGCTGCGTCATCGAGTGCTGAGAGTGCTCGGATCTGACTACGGTAGTGGGTTTTGACAACAGAGAATGGAGCCAGATCCAGCGGCTAGAGGACGTGTGAGGCGTGAGGTGGAAGGCATAGGAGATAGATCTGATGCTGCCGGCAAGTCCACATAAAGTCAACAGGGGTATGAGAGCCGTGGCCGTCCAATAGTAGTAGCTGCCACCCACCTTGTGAAGGTGTAGTATTTGGTATAAATATCTATTGTAGCCACTCAGATCTAATTAAGTTTGACGTCTATCTATTCTCTAACGTTGTGTAGAGCTAATTAGGCACCCCTTGTGCTAGAAACCACGTGGTTTGTAGATGCTTGCCTTTGAAGATGACTAGGCATTGGAGCTTGGTGCTGCTGGTGGAGATTGTCTCCAGGATTGATACCCACTCGCGATCCTCTGGCGATTTAATATAAGCCTTCTTCTTTGATAAGCTAGCAACGACTCTGGTGTTGCTACATACCCCAAGACTGACACCAGTCTTATCCATGTTCCATATGTCTTCATACTGTATACCCAGCTCAATTCGAGTACGCTCAAATAGCTTAAGAAACGCTTGTATAGTCTCATAGCTAGCTGCTGTAGTCTGTGCGCTCTCAATTGTTTAACTAACTATAGAGGCAATAGATAGGTTCCGTGTGATGAAGTGGGATACCCACAGATGCCCAAGTGGCTCGTAGTCGCCGTTTATATAAAGGATTTGGTGAGCCATCTCTCGTACTCGTGCGTGAGAGGGTGGCTGTGAACGTGAGTCCTCTTCAAGTATCCACTCTGCTAGGAAAAGCTCTTGCTCTGGTGTCAAACGTTGTTGATATGAGTGAGCTATCACGTGTGGTTGACGGCCTTGAAGGCGGCTCTGGAGGGACGATCTCGGGATCCCGTACACGCGCGCAGCCTGTTGCTGGCTCTTAAAAATACCAGCGTTAAGATCAGCAATAGCAGATTGTATAGCACCTTCACGGGCATCCATTTTGAGTACGTGGTGCTGGTAATAAAACGCGTCAAATGGTGGGTAACGAGTTGTGGTGGGGTGGCCAAAAACTAGGTATGGCCGAAAACTAGATGGTTTAGCTTATATCTAATTCTTTTGAGACGCTTTGAGCCTTGTTGCGTTGAGACATCGCGGGTTGTATGAAGTTTGGTGTGGTCTTGGCAAAATCCGGTCACTCGCCCAGGCCGGCCACTCGCCCGTGAGGTACGTTATAGATAAACCCATCAAAATATTTCGTGATAATAGCTGTTCTATGTGGCTCTACAGCCTCAAATTTGTGATGGCCGTACAGGCTCGGAGCGGGCGTTCGGTGACTCCGGGCGTTCGGTGCACGGACACGGAACGCGCGCGGACACGGTATGGCCGAGCTTAGTTAAAGTCTAATTAGTAGATACTTATTACTGCGCCGCTCTGTCTTGTAGGATCGTACCACACAGAGGGAACTACGTAGCTGGATACATTGAACTAGTTGCCCTGCTTGCAAGGGCAGTTGCGCTCGGGTTTGCTATCTGCCACAGCGTGAAATCCGATTGGTAGCTCAAGATGACGTAATCATAGGCGGTGGCTGCCCCAATTTAGAGAGCTTCGAAAGCAGCCAGATAGGAGCAACTGTCCAACAAGCATGGTAGTTACGGTACCTGCCCGATACATTTGAATCTACATCGGGCCGGCTAATGATTTTTAAGACTGTAGCTAGAACGATAATTATTGCCATACCAGGTCAGAGGTGGACGCTGCCACATGCAAGCCCTGACAGCTTGCCTGTGGAATTGTGCGCGCGTGGAGTGCGTAATGTACGTTTATTTGATTGTTATATTTATGCGGAAGCACATGCACACTACTGCAGAGTAATGTTAGGTCAAAGCATGCTAAGCAGACAAATGAAGGAGATTTCAAGCTATCAGAGATTTAGTTTCGCACACACGAAATATGAAGAAACGCTGTTGAAACGGGGCCTCGCGAACGATTGTCGGACTTGATGGGTGGGTCCCGCTGTCTGCCAGTGACGGATGAAACATAATTTGACGCGTTCGTAAACGCGTTCGTCTAGCGTTCGTCTAGCGGTTTGACGCGTCGAGTCCGTCAAAAACGTGATTGCGTGGTGAGTGTTGCCTGTTGTCGGGCTACTCTCCTTCACACCATTCGGCGGGTGCAGTGTGCTTAGGTATTGCCTTTTTTAGGTGTCGTACGTTATTACTATAGCGACAATTGCAGCTTTCTCGCCAAGAAACCCCCCACCATCGCTCCTGCCGTCCATTAGAGTTCCCGCAACATTGTTGTTCCCTCAGCAACAGCCCTTCGCGTCGAACGTCCCCACTCGGTCTTTCAGACCAGGCAAACATCTGCCTTGCGACACCCGTTCAATTCGAGCCATTGCTACGTCCACGCTATTTTTCGACCGACGTCTTCAAAGATACGATCGTGCTCGCTGCAGCAGGACACCTTATAAGTCAACATCGGACGACACGTCATTGGTGTACTGCCAAAAGATTGGTCAGGGCCTTGAGGCAACTGGGACGATCCCTTCAGTCAGCCCGACATTGCGGTGCACAGAAGAGCTCAAAGTCACGAGGTCAGGGTATTGCTGCGAGTGCGTGGTGTTGTTATGTCCCATGAGCTTAGAAAGAACAACGTGAAAGTCACCGGTCAGACTTGCTATAGGGCGATTGAAAGTCGGCACATACGGAGGCGGGCAGCCACAGCTTTCACTGCCAGCCAACACCCGCCCGACTTTAGGCTTGCGCAGGACGATCAATACCTAGCTCTTCCACCCACCGATCAACCGCTACCCCGTAAACCGTCCTTCGCCGCAACTTTTCAGAATCTGTCGCACGAGGCTCGATCTGTTCTATCGCTTATCAGCCGCCTTACTTTCACTCCACATCATGTCACAGACACAGCCGTCCACACAGCAAGTCCTCGACCCGCGTCGCTTGGGGAGGAACAGCTCTGGCCTCAACGATGGCGACATTGCTGACGTCCTTGTGATTCTGCATCCTGCGACAACTTCAGCTATGAAGATTGTTGAAAACACTGCCGAAACCCGTCCTCAACACGTTCTTTTCCGCAATTCTCTCGATCCTGATTCGATGAATGCGTCTCTTACAGACATCGAGGAGCAGGAGACCATAATTATAAATGGCAATGGAGAGCGGGTAGGTCAGACGTCACGGGCGGGCGCTGATTTGGCGTTGCGCATGTCTTCTGCGCGCACGCTGCGCTTCAAAGACCTCGGCTTCGTCTTTGGGCGGAATCCAAACAGCGCGGACATCGTCTTTGGTCAGGACTCTGGCAAGCGCATCAGCAACCAGCACTTTCGAATCTACCTCAATCTAGATGGCATATTGATGATAGAAGACCTGTCGACCAACGGCACCATCGTTGACGACCAGCTACTAAAGCACAAGGACAAGCGTTTCAGCAGGACACGCATGTGCGACTCAGGATCTATAATCTGCATCCAAAGCTCCAACGATGCCGACATGATCAAGTTTGTTGTCCGCGTTCCTTCACGGGTGTCGCACATTGATCGCTTCAGAGAGAATCTGCGAGAGTTCATCGCCGATTGCGCAAAAGGTGATGACAAGCACAAAGGTTTGTCCATATCTGCTTCGTCCGCGGTATAGTACTGACGAAATTAAGCTGTACAGCGCATTGGAAAGAACTACGGATGTCCAACGATGAAGTGGGACGGTGGAATCAACTACAACATTGTCGGTATGTCGACAAATGCCGCTTTGTGAAGCAAGACACTTATCTGAATCAGGCATAATCGGCAAAGGAGCTTTCGCGACCGTACACCAACTAGCCACCAAGATGGAAGGCAAGCTGCTTGCAGCGAAGGAGTTGGAGAAACGCCGCTTCATGAAGAACGGACACCTCGACAAGAAGATCGACAACGAGATGAGGATCATGCAAGGCCTGCGGCACACTAACATCGTCGAGTTCGTGGAGTATCATGATCAGGGCGACTACCTCTACATTATCATGGAATACGTTCGCCACGGCGATCTCCAGGCATATCTCAACCTCAATGGGCCCATGAGCGAAACGCTGGTCAGAATTATCGGCCAACAGGTCTTGAGCGCCCTCACCTACCTGCATCATTCACAGATCACACATCGCGATATCAAACCAGACAACATTTTGATTGCCGATGTCGACCCGCTGAAAGTCAAGCTGTCCGACTTTGGCTTGTCAAAAGTTGTCAAGCATGAAGAAACTTTTCTCAAGACTTTCTGCGGCACCTTGTTGTACTGCGCGCCCGAAGTATTCCCTGACTATGGGGAGTCCAAAGGTACCAAGCGAAGACGCGGAACCAAGCAGTACCATCAGTACAGTTCATCTGTAGACATATGGTCGTTTGGTGCTGTCTTGTGGTATGCACTTTGCGGCGAGCCTCCCTTCAAGGGCATTGCTGATGCCACCGGCCAGGCGATGTACAACAACATTACCACTACTGAATTAAGCTCAGCGCCGCTAGAGCGGATTGGAGCCTCCACTCCTTGTAAAGACCTTCTCATGCAGATGCTCCGAATCGACCCTTCCGAGAGGCCTGATGCTCGCACTTGTCTCACTCATCCCTGGCTGAAGGAAGGTGCTGCTTTTCCGCCAGATCCAACACTTCAGTCAATTGTCGAAGAGGAAGAGGAAGAAGCGGAGCAACAGTTGTCGCAACTGAGCATTGGAGGCGGATTCGAGGAGGACGAGATACCCGAATCAGACGACGAAGCGGACGTAGACGATGAGCTGATTGCCCTTGCTGGAGAAAACAGACAAACGAAACGCATTCGCGCCGATCCCCTATATCCTCGAAACCAGGTGCGCGACCACGACGAAGAGTCCAGCGGCGACGCCTCTTTCCTGTCTGAACATGTTATCGACGGGGAGGAAAGCTTCAAGGTGATACCCACACCTCAACGCCCACGACTCTTCGGTGAGATTGGCCAATCTGCCTTGCAAAGTTCTGGCATTCTGCACGACCATGCACACGAGGCACTCTCAGAGCGCAACGTTACCGACTCTGACTACCGCGACAGCGCAGCTATCTTCAGCCACACCATGGGTGGGGCTCAGCACGAGATCCCGTTCAGCGCTCCTCGTCTCGACAGAGGTTTTTCTTCGCCCAGCCTCCTGGGCACTGAATCTCTTGTGCGCGAGATGAACATGACTTCGCCAGCATCGCCTGGATCCGGGTTATATGATCCTAACGAGCCCGCCACACCTCGAACTCCCGATGTGCCTCAGCACAACTCCTTAGACCAGTCATCCACATTCGCGAGCCAAATCAGTGAGCCGACACCGAAAGCTCGGCCAGGTGCATCAAACCGCCAGATCAGTCTTCCTGTGACTGCGTCTCACTACTACGATCCTCTCGATCCGAATACACACAATCTAGAATACGCGTCCAGAGTAAGTGGCTTCGACTTTGTTGGCGCTCAGAAGGAAGCAGCAGTCGGTGCCTCTGCTTACGAGGATACAACAAGAGGGTCAATCGCCAGTAGTAGCGTCGCAAGTGGGTCGCAAACAGGTGAAGCACAGGAGCCATCGCCATCCGCAGAAGTGCCTTCGGTACCAGCTGAACTTGACATCAGACCTCCTCCAAGAAGGCTGGGCAAGCTAGTGGCCACTCCCGACTCGTTCGTACCAACCCTCGTTCTCAACATCGATAAGAGCAAGACCTCTTGGGGAAGACTGGCTAATAACACAATTGTGTATGACGAAAGTCGAGACACTCGCATCCCCAAGACTGCTTTCATTATCTTCTGGTACTCTTCGGGTGGCGACACTGCCGAGACGGTGCAGGACCTTTCCCAAAAGAACATGGACTGGACAAGTCTTGAGAAGCTCAATGTGGGTATCTGGACATGTGCAACTCACGGCATCTCAATCAACGGCAAGCACCTGAAGCAGAAGGACGAGAGAGGGAGAGCGCTGTTCGGACACCTTCACACTGGCGACATCATCCAGGTGTACCAGGACTCACGCGGAACCGAAAGCCTGAAGTTCCGCTGCGAGTTCAACCTGGGGTCTGGAAAGGATCCAAGACCTGCCAACACCAGCTTCCAGGTTCTCCGGCAGTAGACTCACGCAAGAAATCAGGGATTTGAAAGGCGCTGTACTGCACGCAAGGCTTTGCCGCTTTTTTCTTGTACTTCCATACGATATCCATTTGAATTCTGAGCGGGCGTTGGCGGTTCCCATGGTTTGCGTACTGTCCTGCTGTCCGCTCTGCAGCATGCATCGGCGTTACGATCTACCGGTACAGAAGGAAAAATAAATTGGGGCCACATGAGTGCAGCGTACATGATATTGGAGCAAAGATTTTGGAAATGGAGCTACCTAGAGAGGAAAAAAACTTTGATAGATGCGGAAGAAATACTGATACATGGCGCTCATTACCTCCTGTTCAAGATCGATATCTACAGATACCGTGGGCATGGTCCACCAATCCGAGCCTAGCGCGCGGTCATCGGAAGTGACATCTGTCTCCAACACACCTCGAGCTCGAACTTGATTCCACCTTGAGCGTGTACCTGCGTGAATCCGCGATGAGGAACTTCTGGGCATTACCAGCAGTGTTGCGCCTTGTGCTCGCTCACCAACACGCCTTTAGCGTTTTCGACGATCTACTTGCATTTCCACAGGTATGACTTCATGCGTCCCAAGCCAGTGCATGCGCACGAGCTCACAAGCAGCAGTACGAAGTCGCATGGCCAGACACGTTCATATTAGAAGACGACGCGACCGCACTTCTCAACCAGCAGGTCCCCACGCCGCCCGCCAGCGCCCTCGCAGGCACGCCAAGTTCACAGCAAACACAGGAGCTCTCCAAGCACGAGCACCCCTTCGCAGATGCGCCTGCTGCCGACGATGCACTACCGGTCACATACGAGGCTGTGGTCCTGCAGGGTCAGCGATATATATGCAGTATTCCCACGATACCGGACGATGTGCCGCAGAATAACACGACAAGCGCTGAGGAGGCAAAGGCCGAGGAGGAAAAGGAGCTTGTGCGCGCAACAGACCGCGGGTGGGAGCTACTGCAGGGCATGCGCGGCAGCTGCATCTACTATCTGAGTGGATGGTGGAGCTACAGCTTCTGCTATAACAATGAAGTCAAGCAGTTCCACCAGCTGCCTCCAAGCCGCGGCGTTCCCATCTACCCGCCCGTCGAGGACACGACCGTCCACAGCTTCGTGCTCGGCCGTTTCTCCAACAAAGATGAGAAGAAGAAAAAGGACGCGACACGCAAGACGCTGGGCAATGAGGCAGGCAGCAAGGAGACCATTGACGACGAGGGCAATGCGCCCGATGAGGAGGAGAAGGCGCTGGAGATCCCGCGTCTGGAATCGAAGGGTTCGAGCAGATACATGGTGCAGCGCCTGACAGATGGGACAGAGTGCGATCTGACAGGCAAGCCGCGCAAGATTGATGTGCAGGTATGTTGCACCTGGGGCCACTCTGAGCACGTTGCTAATACAAGCCTAGTTCCACTGCAACCCACAGACCGCCGACAGAATTGCCATGATCAAGGAGACCAGCACTTGCTCCTACCTCATGGTCATTGACACACCTCGTCTCTGCCACGACGTCGCGTTTCTGCCTCCACAAAAGAATCTCGCGCACCCTATCACCTGCCAGTCTGTCATCCCTGCAGCAGACGCCGAGGAGTGGGAGGCCGCTGCTCTAGAAGCTAAGGTTCGCGAAACAGAGCGTCTTCTCGCTTTCGCCGAGTCTGGAGACAACGCGAACACAAACCCGCTTCGCGACATCGCCGACAGCCTTGAGGGCTCAACAAAGCGCGGCCCTATCATCGGCGATATTGAAGTAGGCGCACAGGCCCTCGTGGGCAGCGAAGGCAAAGTCATCGAAAAGAGTGTCGTAGTTGGCGGCGGCAAGGAGACTTTCGTTGGCACTGTGGCAGCCAGCGACGGCACGCAGATGTCCAAGGAAGAGATGAAGAGGTTGAACATTCCAGATCCTAAAGATGTTGAGAAGCTGAAGAGCAATCTGCGCAAGCTGGCTGGCAAGAAGGGCTGGAAGCTCGATCTTGTCGACACACCCAGAGGCAGAGAATTCAGAGGTATCATTGAGGCCGAGGACCAGGATGAAGAGACACCCAAGGGCAATGAAGCCGAAAAAGTGGACAAAGGGGGGGAAGCAGCAAAGAAAGAGAAGGCAGAGAAAAGTGTTGGAAAGGGCATGGGTGCTGGCAAGCAAGAGCAGGCTGTCGTGGATCCAGTGCCGGATGAAGAGGAGGAGTTCCAAGAGGGAAGTAAAGAAGTCTACAAAGATGAGTTGTAGACACGGTATTAAGACTTTCAGTTTCATTGAATGGTATAACAGCCTACTGAGCATTTCTCCGCGTGCTAATACCCCCTGTCGCGGTCGACTTCATTGACCAGCTTGCCTCCTCCTCGGTCCCGTCTGATGTTCTCAGCAAGTACCTGGAACGCTCGCTCCGCATACGCGTCACTAGAGCCACTGATATGCGGTGTGATCAAGACATTAGGCGCAGTCCACAAAGGATCGTCCTTGGGAAGTGGTTCTGGGTCAGTCACATCCAGTGCAGCACCGCGAATCTGATTTGTCTCAAGCGCAGTAATTAGAGCTTTTTGATCGATGATCTGACCACGTGCGATGTTGGCAATGTATGTGCCGCGCGGATTGCTCCGGTGCAGGAGTTCGAATTCGTCGGTAGAAAGCAGGTGCGTGGTATATTTGGTTAGAGGCACACCAACGACCAGCAGGTCGATCTCTTGCTTCAAGAAGTTGTGAAGATCTCCTTTCGCGGTTCCGCTGTACCATGCGCTGGGAATGCTGCCATCTGGGTCGCCGGTTCCGGGGACGATGTATCCGTCGTCCTTCTTGCTCTCTGGGGTTCTGCGTGGACTTGCTGTATATGCAATGACATCCTGGCCCAGAGCTTTCGCAACACGAGCGACTTAAGAGTGTCAGTATCTCGAACTAAAGCAACTCAAGTTTGCGAAACTGACCCTGCCGGCCAATACTCCCATACCCCAGAATCCCCACCCTCTTTCCCACACGATCACTGACATTCATTCCGGCCCTCTGATTCCACGTCTTCTCCTTCTGTAAATCATACAGCTTCGTATAATTATGCGCATGCACAAGGTCCATCATAACAACCCACTCCGCAATCTGCGGCCCGTGCACACCATTCGCGCTGCACAGCGGAATCTTAGAATCCATGTAAATTGGGTGCTTAGCCACATGGTTCGTACCCGCGGAGAAAAATTGGATAAGTTTGGTTTTCGGGATTTCGTCGGCGTTCTCGGGAAGCCAGAAGAGCGTCGCGATGTATGATGCCTTTGAGGGGAGGTCTTCGGGGATGTCGTCGACGGTCACTTTGCCATTCTCGAAGTGCGAATAGTAGTACTGGACTTCGAGATGCGCAAAATTCTTTTCGAGCGCATCGATGCTGGCTTGACATTGCTCTTTGGGCCAGGGAAGGACGGCGAGGACGAGCTCCTTCTCTTTCTTTGACGGTGCTTCTGGTCCGCCTCCCATGTTGACTATTTGAATGCGTTGGTATGTGGAATAATTGATTTACAACAGCACCCTCTGATCCGCCAGAGAATGAAAGAGCCGTCCTTTGAAGGCTGATGAGATGCGACGCCCTGTGTGTATGTAACCGTAGTTGTAAGGCATTAGTGGGGTGCCATGTGGGGGCAGCGGTGACGTGCTTTCGCCTTCTCATGTCCGCATGGCGTCGGCCGAGACTGAACAGGTGAGTAGTGAGCACTTGCGATAAGGAGCAGTCGGTGTGAAAGCTAACTGATGACCGAGACGATAAAAATTGAAGTACACCAACGGATACGCTCAAGCTCGAAAAATGGTGAATCAAATAGGCATCCCTGGTGGAAATGAATTGTACATGGGGTGACTTCGAAAGTGCTCTCAAGCTCGAGCGAAAGCGAGAGGATGGCTGGATGGCTGTTTATCGCGCTCATCTTTCAAGCCTCGTGTTGAGTAGTAAGTTGTAATACACGAGCCGAGCCCGGTCGCTGAAGACATCTGCCCTTCGGGTCTCGACACACCCCTTTGTAGCTGTGCAGAATGTACAAGAGCATGCCATGGATTTGGGAAGGCCGTATGAGCTTCACAGGTGACTCGGAGGGTTTTTTTCGCCCATTGAGGATTTGTCACATCCTCAGAAGACTCGGTCGGCGGCCAAATGAATTGTGCGACGGGCAGAGAGGTATTCATGGAGAAACCAGCTCGTTCTAATGAGGCGAATGAGACACGGCTCTTTTGATGATCGATGAACAGCTGTACCCGGTCTGGTAATCTCCTCTTGATCTCGATCGGGATTTTCGACTCGCTGAGTGTTCATGTTGCGGTACGCATCCAGACATAGTGTACAAGAGTATGATCCTGTCATCGATCGATGTTGGGATGGGGGGATTCGAAGCGTAGCCAAGAGTCCATTGCGTGGATGTCAGAGGTCCCAGGCTGGACTGCAGGCTGGCATGCATGTACTGCAAGCGCGCGGCTACCGCCATCTTAGTCAAAGAAATATGAGCACGACTTGCGTGAGTTCTAGCTGCCGTTGGCTTACTGTGCTCAATTCAGTTCAAAGACTTCGACCAATCCAGCCAAATGAAGAAAGTGCAATGATTACAGCCTTTGACAGGACCACATGCAAGCTGCACCCTTATGATCACGAGCGACTACGTTGGAGAAAGCGAAGAGACCAAAACGAGAACCTTGTAACAACGTCTGTTCGCTAATGGACATCCAGGTAACTCCTGATTCGTGAGTACATCGCTCAATAACAGCCGAGCGAACCGAAAATTGACATAGAACGTTGCCTGTTTTGGCGTTGGGACTACAAATCAGAGTCAGACAACCAATTTGCGAACTCTGTCTTCTTCCCCTTAAACCTCCTAGTAGTCCTCTTCCTATCATCGCCCAGCACCGCAACAGACGGCTTTCCAACGCTCTGCTATGCGATTGTGCTCCCGATTTGATTCTCTCGAACCATAGCCTCCTTCACAAAGTGTACACGTGGGTAAATCGTGTACAAAGCCGCCACATTCTGCTGCTCGTCATCGTCGCCTTCTTCAAATGCCTGACAGGCATTGCCTGCAGTCCATAGCTCCTTCCGCCTTAGCGCCAGTCGCAGCTCGTCCTGCAATCGAATCACCAAGGGCAAGAGCCACCCGTACGTTACCGTGACGACGGGCCGGCATTGCCGCGCTACGTCTCTCCAATCCAGTCCTCGAGAGTACCGGTTGATGCTCACGATCTTACGCTCGAGCGCTGCATGAGCATCTCCGAAGTCATACGCCCACAGCGCTGTCGAGCATTTGGGTTTGGACACAATGACGGACAATTGAATGTGGATGTCAGTGTGGTGGAGCTGGGTTTGGCGAATTTTCGAGACAACGTGCTCGTTCGATATGCTGGGCAATTTAGCGATGGTGCCGAATTGTAGATCGAGCGCGTTCTTGAGCGCAGTGCAGGTGTACATGAGCTGAGCTGCTTCATCGTGGGTGAGCGACACTCCAGCGACATCTGTAGTCGGCACTTTAGGTGCGAGTAGTTTGGCGATGATCTTGAGCATGGTTGATGAGAGGGTGGCAGCCAGGACGAGTGCGTTTGAAGGGCGACTCGACAGAATTTTGGGTCTGTATGGTTGACCCTTATCTCTCAACCACGTTCGAGGCATCTCTGCGCCTTCGATCATAGGGAGGCTTTCGAGTCGAGGAGGCACTTTCACTCCGCTGCGCGAAGAGACACTATGCGTTTCTGTACTCATGTCTTGTTAGTGAAACAGTCACTGTATACTGTAATACAGCAGGAAGAAAAGAGACAATGGAGGCGATCAGCGGATGAGAAGCCCATACTCGAGGGTTCACTGCACTCGGTTTGTTCATGCGGGAACGCCACGTTGTGATGCCCGTAACAAACGACTCCGCCTCACCTCAAGTCGGCTTATATAACGGATTCTACAGGCAGGCCATTCTCAGGTCCAATTTACTTGTTCCTCGAGAGGTCTTTGGTGGGCCAGAGTTGCTAGCAGCTGTGACGAGGTATTGATTTTGAGCGGCTATAGAGCCTTCTATAGGGTATCGAGAGAGCAAATAGAGATCGTTGGGACCAATCTAGGAAGCCAGCGCCGGAACCGCGCCCTCCTCGGCAGGCTTCTTTTCGTCTTCCATAGATTGTGTGGCCTGAGCGGCCTCGTTGGCGGCGGCCTCGGCCTTGTTCTGCGCAAGACGCTGTGATGATTATCAGTCCCAGATTCGATTGCTGGGTCATGTTCGAAAGGAGACGTACGAGGAGGTTGCGGAGCAGAACCGCTATGGTGACCTTGCCGATAGCAGGGACGTAAATGGATGCCTTTTCCTTCACGTCTGGGTTGAAGTTGCGATCGCTCGAGAAATTGATGCAAACAGCGCCATCCTTCAGCAGGTGCGCCGGTACCTTGTACTTGTCACCGGGCACACCGCTGATGACCACGTCGCTGATGGGCAGACAGTCCTTGAGCTCCCAGCCAGGCTTCTCCACGACGTCGTGCTTCTTCTTCCTGATGCCCTCACCTCGTGTGAATTCCTGCACGTCGGCAATGTCCACGCTGTATACAGTCGCACCATCGTTGGCCAACAGAGCTGCCAATGGTCGACCCACAACCTCACTTCGGTTGATCACGGTGATCGTGCGTCCATGCAGTCTGTTGCCGTACGCAAGAATGGTGTTGTAGATCCTAAGGTATTCGAGGATCTTGATGACAGCGAGCGGTGTGCACGGCAAGATGCTTTTCTTCGTGCCGGCAGGGTCGAGGAAGCGGACGTTCTGGTACATGTTGAAGATGTACTGGTGGGACAGACCCTCGACATCCTTTTCAGTGGAGACAATCTGCTGCAGGTACTGATCTTGCCTATTGCCGAAGATAGGGTAATAGACCATGATACCGTTAACCTTGGAGTCGTTGTTGGCGTCGATCAGAGCGTCTTCGAGCTCCTCGCGGTCGATCTCACGCAATTCGTAGGCAAAGCCACTGTAACACATAAGTCTCATGTCTCACTGCTCAGTGCACACTAAAGCAGCAACGCAATGGGTGAGCTCACTTCTCCTGGCACGTCTTGCCAGTCCACTCAGCGTAAACCCTTGCGGCAGGGTCGCTGCTGGACAGGAAGCCTACAAGAAGGGGCTTTCGATCAAGCTCCTTCAACCCATCCTGGATCTCTCCAAGCAGGCTTTTCGCAATGTTGTTTGCGAGGATCACCTTGCAGTTGGGCTTGTCGGCGGCCATGGTGGGAAGTGGGGATTTCGTGAGAGGCAGGACAGAGGAATGCGAGACTGAGACTTCGAAACCTCCGAGACAATTGGCTACTTGACCCGTTTTCCCACGCGAAGGATAAGAAGGCTTTTGGTCTGTGTCATCCTAAGACTTTCGTTCGTGAAAGTGCCGCGCTCGTCGTGGTGTTTTAACTTTTTCTGCCCCACCGATTTCCGCGGCCAATCAGCGAGTCGGCGAAGTTGCGTCATAAGCACTTCGACCTTCGACGCATCGACGCGCTTGTGGAGGTCGCCGTTCCCTTCGACATACTGTAACAACCCTCCAGGAAGCGTCGCGAGCATGTCAGATATCCAGCAGTACCTGTTGGACTATGACCGAAATAAGAAGGAGGCCACTGCCACGGCGCAGCGCAGTGCGAACCGTATGTGTGGGGACTTGGAGGGGCATATCGGGATGAAAGCTGATAGCGAGCAGAACTGCAAAGTGGCCAATTGAAGCTTCTGAGCCTCATTGGGACTCTTGGGGAGTACTTCAATAGCGAAGATGGCGCCATACGGTCGAAGACGATTTCCTACCTGGCCGAAGTGCTAGCTGCGATCCCCCATAAAGTACTCTCTCTCCAGCAGCGCAATCTGCTCACCGACTTCGTACTATCGCGAACAGAAGACAGCGAGGGCTTGAGCTCATGTGCAAAAGCGTTGCTGGCACTGGAAGAGCTGGGCAAATGGGATGACGGCCGAGTGGTGGCTATTGTGGAAGCTCTGCTCCGCACCACGCACCCTCTACGCCAGTACAAACTGCAGACCGAACGATACCCCGTGCTTCAACTCATCGACATACTGATGGCTAAGTACCGGGAACCTCTGCAACAACACCACACAGAGTCAGGCGACTTTTTGCCTCGGTTCATATCGTACTTCGATGGTGAAAAAGACCCGCGCAACCTTATGGTTGTCTTTTCGATCTTGCGGGTCCCCATGACGGAGTGGCCCATCGGTGCAGATGCTCAGGAGCTTTTTGATGCAGTCTTCAACTACTTCCCAATCACATTCCGACCGCCGCCAGACGACCCATACGGTATCACCGCGCAAGATCTCAAGGACCGCCTGCGGGACTGCATATCTTCGACCCCAGATTTTGCGCCGTACGCTTTCCCGGCTTTGCTTGATAAGCTCGACTCGACGTCTATGAACACAAAGCGCGATGTACTACAGGCCATCACTGCATCGGTTCAAGAATATGGTCCTCGAACAATATCGCTGTACTCGATCACACTCTGGGATGCCCTGAAGTTTGAGATCCTGAATGTTCAAGAGGAGGACCTGGCCGAAGAAGCTTTGAACGGCCTTGCTGCGATTGCACAAACCCTGTCGCAGGGAGCCGGTGGACCACTCATCGCCTACTTACGGCCCATCATCAAAGAATGCAATGAGCACCTTGAGGATGCACCGACGAAACAATCACAGGCATCTGCACGGATATTACACAATATCTCACAAGTGTCTCCTGAAGTTAATAACATTCTACTGGCGGGCGTGTTACCTACTCTGTTCTTGCTCTTCCAGAACGCAGACACGATGGCGAAAAGGAGAGGCTTGTTAGAGGTGCTGATCCAGCTCATCAAGGCCAATGTTGCCATCTATGGCGACTGGCGCGTGCCGGGGCCCGCCGGAGATCAAGTAGCGACCAATGCCTTGAAGGGGTTCAGGGACCAAATGTTGGAGGTTCTCCTTAACGGCCTGGAGTCGGCACCAGCTAAAGAGGTCTCGTTCAGGCTGGTCTGTCTAGACGGACTCCTTCAGCTCTCGAAAGCACGACAACTATTGGGTGACGAAGACCTTGGCAGGGCGATACAAATATTGCAAAACGTTGTCATCCACGAGGAGTCCTACGGCAAGGACGAAGTCAAAGAAGCTGCCGTGAGCGGTATCGTGGATTTCGCGCATCAAAAGCCCCAGATTGTTGTCGATAAAGCCTTCCCTGCCTTCTTGGCGCAGCTGCCGGATAGCGACGCCGACGGCACCAAGAGCTACTCATCCGTACTGGAGGCCTTTGCAAAGCTCGCAAGCGAAGAGAAGGTCTTTGACACGGTTCTTATCAGGCTCAAGAACAAGTTTGGCACAGCAGTAAAACAGGGTGCGTCTTCGACTTACCTTGTCGCACTACTATCAGCAATTCTCTATGCCCTCAACCAAGGTGAGGCGAAGCTCTCGCAAAGCCCTGGAACCTCCACATACTACAACGATATCGCATTTCCTTTGCTTCAACAAGCATCCAGTTCCGAGTCGTCGCACCCAACCGTATTCAACGATGAAAGCACATTGGATTTGGTTGGGCGGATATGCGGCATCATCATCAAGTCGCAAACAGCAGAGTCGCAAAATGCGATCGGACAAGAACTGTACACCCTCTTCCGTGGGACACCGCAATCACAGTTGCCGCCCTTTAACTTCAGCGGCGCATTAGAAATGGACAAGACCATGATCATTAGCACCCATCTCTTGGCATCGTTCAGGAAGGAAACTGCTCTTCCCTGTGAACTGCAACTCCTCATCACATCACTAGCCGAGTACGCACAACAACCGCACCTGACGGTTCCTGTCCGATCAGCCTCCCTGCGCCAGCTATCCTTGATTATCAACAAGTACTACTCAGCATCTGGCCTCAGGACATGCATGGATCCTCTAGTATCCAAGTTCGACCTCTTCAGCAGTGAAAAATTAGACATCCAGCGCATACGCGTGATCTTCGCCTGCTTGAAGGGCATTGTCCCGCGAAGCAGCCCTGCGCTTAACACACTATACCCCACAGTGCTCTCACTACTATCACATCCACAGCATGGCAGCACAGTCGCACACGGTTTCACAACATTACTGCAGCCCGACGACCTGTTGACGAAGCAAAACCACTGCCAGATGTCGGGCTTGCACAAGCAAAAGAGCTTCGCTCTCCTGGTGCCCAATATCACCCAATCCTTCCGCGAGGCGTCATCGGAGACAAAGCCAAACTACCTCATCGCTCTCAGCGGCGTGCTGAGATGGATGCCATTCGATATCGTCGTCGAAGAAGTCAAGCAGCTAGTCACTCTGCTGCTGCAGTCACTTGATCTCAAGGGCATCGACATGGTCAAAGAAGCGACAATCAGCACACTAACCTCAACGCTGGCTGAGAAGCCGAAGACGCTTGAAGAGCACAGCGGCAGCCTCATCTCTCGTCTTCTTGCCAACGCCACGGTCAACAACGGCTCGCCTCCGCCAGCCAATGTGCGAGTTGCTGCACTGAAGTGTCTGACGCTGGTGCCGGAGAAGTTTGCACAGGAAACCGTGCTGCCGTACCGGAGACAGGTGGTCAAGAAGCTGACAGCCGCGCTGGACGACAAGAAGAGAGAGGTCAGGAGTGCGGCAGTCAGGTGTCGTGCGAAGTGGTTGGAGATCGATGAGGCGGGCGATGATGATTAGACTTGGAAAGCTGAACTGAATTCGACGATATCCCACTATACATCCAATTCCGATCTTTCGTGGCTCAACATACACTTTTCATTTGACGCCCATTGCCGCGAAGGTGGTATAACCCCTCGTGAACTCCCAAAATGCCGTAACGCCGCCCATGCAAAGCTCGTTCAGTCTACTGGTTCCGGGCCTTCTTCAACAGCGCCTGCTTCAGCGCATCGTTATCGACTCCATCCTGAGCGTCGGCATTGGCCATCGGCGCATCTCCACCCGCGTCGTCATCACGACTCCGCTTCAGACCCTTCATCTTCCTCGTCTGCAGCGTGTTGAAGTCCTGCTTGCCCGGGTGAATCTTGGCAACCTTGTCACCCATAGCGTCCGTCGTGATGTTCTTCTTCGTCCGCTCCTCGGTGCCCTTGGGCTTGCGCAGGGCCTCCTTGAGCATGTCTGCGTCAGGGAACTGCTCGCGGCCGACGGTGAAGTCGATGCGGGGGCCCATCTCTTCGACTTCGACGCGCGGCAGCTTTTGCCCACTGCGCTTGGTCTTCAGGAGGTAGAAACGCAGCTTGATCTCTGGGTCGGGGCGGGCGTCAGTGGGCTCCTCGGCGCTGACGCTGATGAGGTATTGCAAGCCTTCGACGTCGATTTCCTCCGTGTCTTGGCCGCGGAATAGATCAACAAGCAAGCTCTTGGCAAGGGTGTATTTTGTCTCGTTGGGGTCTTCGAAGAGTGTGCCGTGGAACGAGATTAGGGGCTTCAGGCCAATGCTGGGTTTCTTGTTCTTAAATTGTTGCAGCGTGCGGAACGTCTCGGGGTTAATGTACAGCTCGAGCATGTCGAGGAGCTTGTGATGGAATGTTCGGACAAGCGTCAGGCAGTGCGGGCGCTTCTTAGAGTGCAGGGAGAGGACGAGGAGCGAGGTGTCGTTCTTGAGGGAGAAGAACTCGAGCGAGGAGGCATCGTCGAAGGGGTGGATGTCGTTCTTCTTCGTGAAGCGCTCAACGAAGGGTCGCTTGAGGGTAGCGAGGTCGGCGGAGGCCAGCTTGAGGATCTGCGACGTCTTCTTGCCGGTGACGAACAGCGTCGTTTTGGGGTTCTCGTTCTGCTGGGGCTCGCGAGCCTTCATGGCGCGCGCCGCGCGGGCATTCTTGGGTTTGCTGTAGGCAGCGTTAGTCGCATATCTCGGCACTCACTCCACATAGCTCTAAAACGTACACTGCCTTGATCATGGTGGGTGGCTGTTGTCGTTGTTCGTGCAGCTGCGGTGCCAAGATTTCGAATGGAACTTTTTCTTGGGAAGGCACGATCCGAGGCCTGCGCACGGACTGCATCTGATAAGGCCGCAGGCACGACGCGCGGGGCTTCCGTGGATTTGGGCAACCGAAGTCGCAATTTCTGGTGGGGGCCGTGGGCAGTCGCTGAGCACGTCACAGCGGCAACTTGCTAATCAGATCGTACCATCCGTTTGTTCAATAATCCGCGATCACTATCACTCGCCCTCGTTTTTCTTTATTTCTTCACACACCAGAGATACCCACCATGGCCACCGTGCGCGAAGTCACCGACGAGTCCGCTTTCGAGTCCACCATCAAGAGCCTGTCGCCGTCGACGCTTGCAGTCATTTACTTCCACGCGCCATGGGCCAAGCCGTGCGAGCAGATGTCAGTCATTCTGAAGACGCTCGCCAGCACATACCCCGCCGACGCCGCGGTCGCCTTTCTCTCGCTCAACGCCGAGGAGCTGCCAGACGTTTCTGAGCAGTACGACGTCACCGCCGTGCCCTACATCGTCGTCCAGAAGGATGGCAAGACCCTCGACACAGTCAGTGGTTCCGACGCCGCCAAAGTACGAGCTGCCGTAGAGAGATACGCTGGCGCCGGATCTGGCGCCGCAAATTCGAGCCTGCCGCCCGCGCAAACAGTCACACGGCCACCGGTCGAGAACGGCACAAACGGCGACAGCGCAAAGAACCTCGCAGCATATGCGCCCGGTGCCAACGACCCCAGAACAGCGCCCGAGTACAGCTCAGGCGAGCAGGAGACAGATAAGGAGGAGCTGCATAAGCGCCTGAGCGAGCTTGTCAAGGCTGCGCCAGTCATGCTGTTCATGAAGGGAACACCAAGCGCACCTCAGTGCGGCTTTTCTAGGCAAACAGTCAGCGTGCTGCGCGAGAAGGGCGTCCGATACGGTTTTTTCAATATTCTGGCCGACGACGAGGTCAGGCAGGGGCTCAAGGAGTTTGCCGACTGGCCGACTTTCCCTCAGCTATGGGTAGACGGCGAGCTCGTTGGTGGCTTGGATATTGTAAATCACTTTGTCGAATTGTACAAGGCTTCGCTAACGTTGCATAGGTCAAGGAGGAGTTTGATAACGATCCCGAGTTCCTGGCTCAGTATGCGGTCAATCAGCCAAAGGCCGCTTAGAAAGTTCGCTACGAGAGCAGAGACACTGTGAAGAGAATTTTGATAAGCAAGCTCTCGAGGGTTTCGAGTGATCGTGAGGAATGTGTTCCTGTCCCGTGGCATCCTTTCGACCCCAGCATCTTTTGCTGGACGCCGCTGGCGCAGGTTCCTCGCTGGCCTAATCAGCCGGGATGGATTGAGTGGCGGTGCTGGGAAACGGGGCTTTCTGATGTCACGACGATAGGGCTACGTTGCAGCGATGCTGATTGTTGGCTCAAGTTCTTCGACGAATGGCTTGATTACCGACAATGGATTGGTGATGAGTTCTCGTGAAATACTAGCTCATGATTTTCCACCCTGTAATCTCGCTGTACTTGCATTGGTCTACCATCATAGTTTCCATCAAAATCACTTGATGAAATCATTAGGTGGAGACTGCAAATACAATGTTTGCAAGTCCAGGACCGGTACATTTGAAGACGACCTTCAGACGTGCGATCTCCGCAAGGGCTTACCGCATCTCAAGCGGAAGTGTTCCGCTGCTCATTTCCAATGTACTAAGACCAACGGCAATGGGGTCTGCAATACGATGAAGACTTGCATGATGCCGCTTGAGCACCGTGGATCACACTGATCTGCCCCATGCCATTGTGACCAGGACCAACATTGCGAGAGGGATCACTTGGAGACGGACTGCAAATGCAATCAAGAAAGGTATCATCCCACTAAACGCTCAAAAGGAACAAATGTTGTTGTGTGTGCTCATCCCCAACCTTGCCTCGCAAGATGCCAACCTTACCAACTCACGTACTCGCCTCTACACCCTGTCTACCCTTACTGTCCGCTACCTCAACAGCATCCGCGGTAGGCTCGTCCGGTACATCCACAATGACCCCGGGATCCTTGGACCGGTTCGCCAACATCGCAGCGCGCTTCTGCCTCTGATCAGCATGCCTTACCCCACGGGCATGTGCCAACCTACCTCTCTCCTCCCCAGCTGTCCCGCACCTTTACCGTCCTCGCTCAAGAACTCAGCATCAATGTCACCATCTGCGGGGCTGAGCACTCTGCTCCCGCCCGTCTCACGGCGCTTCAGCTCTTGCTCGTGTGGACTTGTGGGTATGCCGTCTAATTCTACAGGCTGCGCGTTGATCGCAGGGACTGATGTGTCTATCAGAGGTGTTTGTGTTGCGGCGGCTATAGAGGTCTTGTGGGGGAATGTGGTGGAACGTGAGATGGGAGACACGGGCGTCTCGGTAGGCGGGGAGATGGGTGTGGGTTCTGTCATGGCGGCGCAATGAGAAGCTTGTTTGGCTACGTGTAGATTCACGAGAGTTTTAGCAGTGCTAAATGCTCATGATTCAAGTGGAGGAGGCTGTGATTCGAACCTTGTGCGGCCAAACAAAGGGCCGCTGCCTCGTAAGCTGTCGCGAGCGCAGTGACGTCTCCGGGGCCCAGTCAGGGTCCCGCGACAAGGTGGGGCAGGGCTCAGCTAGCTCAAAATAGACAGCCCTACCCTTCAGCTTTGGATGATAGATATTGAAGTTATGGGACTGTACTTGTTACGACATGCAAGATTGAGTTTTCGTCTAGTTAACCCAGACATAGTACCTCTCACCCTTATCGGTTGACACTTAATACGAATCATACTACTGCTCCAAAAAAAAAGTACTTGTACTTGATGGTCACCTGTCAAATGACCGTACCGCTAACTCGCAATCATCACCGTCCTTTCTAGAAGGAACCACATCAGAAAGGAACCGTATTATACCTCTACTCGGACTTCATGTTCATCCTGAAGCCTAGCGTATAGCCTTCGTCGTTACTTGTCTTTGATTCATCCTGAACCATGTCAGGGGATACGTCCACGAAACACATAGCTAGTGCCCGCTTGCCTCCATGAACACATTCTGCCCGAACGCGTTGGTCTGCTGGTTCTGCGGATGCGGATTGGGTACTGGCGGGGGTTGTGGCTCATTTGCGTCTGTCTGCATAGGCATGCCGCTCAGGTCCATGGGAAAGAAGTTACTCTGGGCGTCTACACCTGGACCTTGAATGTACGAGTCCCATGCATCCTGGCGTCATTAGCAGTGTCACTTACAAAAAGATCCAACTTGTAAACGTACCCAGTTGATGCTATCAGTTGGTGGCAGGTCCAAGCTTTGGAACAGATTGGCGCCGAAGAGGTTCGAAAACGGACTAGGTGCACTCTCGACAGCTCCTGATCCAGAGGTCGTGCTTCCATAGTTCGGGGTTAGACCAGTTGGTTGTTGCGGCAAAGGATCATTGAGCAAGTTCGCCATCGAAGGAGGATATCGCTGTTCGAACATGTTTGCCGAGTTTGATGAAATTCCACCTGTGCTAAGCATACCAAGCGTCATTGCAGCAGAGTGTTCTGGGGCCACGTTTGCGTCGTCCATTGGCGTATTTGTTTGGAATGTCGATGCCGAGGAAAAACTTCCCTGTGACTGCCTAGCTGTGCGATCCTTTTTCAGTTGACTTAGCATGACGCTTAGAGTCGTGTAGGCCTTATAAGCTTCCATGGAGTGGTCCTTCAAGCCTTCCCAGATCCCCACTGCTGTTTCAATAGCATCGAGCATCTCGTCAAATCGATCCGAGGCCCATGTATACATGTCTCCCGAAGCGGAGCGGCCCTGGCTTGCGGATTTGATGGTGTGGTAAAGGTCAGATGAAATGATCATCGCCGCGAGCAAGAAGTCTACTGTGGTAAGAGAGGAGATGAACCACTTGACACTGCGTAATCGACCACCAGGCTGGCATTCTCGGTGCAATGTTGCCTGATGTCGGAGCATCGTCATTGAGGCATCAATGACAGCTGTCCTGGAATAGCTGAACCTTGCATGCACCCGAGCATATGCGAGGTACTTCCTGTGCAGTACGCATATGATCTTCAAATAGAGGAGGTCCAAGGTGAATCGCTGCATGATCAGAGTGGATGTGTCTCGAGCAGACTCATCCATAGAGCGCAATTTCAGGTGTGGCGAAATGCTGCCATGCAACTCTCGGGCCTGTGCATCGAGCTTCATGACCTCGTCGTATGACGAACAGGTCAGAGTATCGGTCAACTCAACAGCCTCGCCGAGCTTATAAATGAAACGTGTGCGGTTGATCAGGTACAGTGTAGGTGTGGCCTCGGTCTCCGGCCTTGACAGTGGTAGGATTTTCATGTCTTCGAAGAGCTCGTCATCGTAGAGGTTGCGTGGAACATCTGTGTTGGTGCCCCGTGGTCGCACAATAGGTGGCAGCCCAGCCTGTGCAGAGAAGAGAAGATCGAACGACCGAATGCAAGCCCAGATTCTGCGTCGCATCTCGCCCTGGAACACGGAGATACCAGAGTAGGGCGCTGGGTCTCGATGCATGCCCTGCCGCATGGCCAATCGAACAATGATGCCCGTACTGATGAAAATGCCTACCTCTGCGTCTCTGCTGCGCGAGTACTCCGCATGAACATGCAGAATTAGGGTCTCAAGCATACCTTGGGTTGGCTGCGTGATATCAGCCATGACGAGGCATTGCGCAGTGAGATCTCTATACTCCTTCGACATCGCCCAAGATTTACCGCTGTACTCTGGGGGCTCGTCGCCAGCCCTTGTGTATGACTGCAGCGCTATGCACGTCATCGCGAAGACTAGACCCAACCAGACAATGGGCGTATCATCTGGGCTTAGCCAATGTCTATCGTACTCTGTCTGGAACGTCGGCCCATGAATGATGTGGATCCCCGGATCATATGTGTTGAAGAAGCGTGATACCAAGATGTCAGCTGTTGGTTTGGGCGGAAACCGTGACAGGATCTCGGGTCTCGATAACGGCTTCATCTGCCCATAAAGAAACCCGGTACCGGGCGGGCTTTCTTCGCTGTGGCTGGCTTTGTATCTCTTAAGCTGGTCGTCATACTGTTTCTTGTGCTCGGCAAAGTAATTCTTGACTTCCGAAAGCTACTTGAAGTCAGCTTGGGCTCTGAAGAGTATGCAGTCGATACGTACCTCGCCGAGGATGGCATACCAATGAGCTTCAGACGCAAAGATGGTCTGATTGTTATTGACTTTCATCACTCCGATCGATTTTGTCACTGTCTCCATTTCACTCTCTTCTCCGGGATCCTCCTCTGCTATCGACTCTGGTTGGCCGTTGCTCATACCGCTGCTCATGTTGCTCATGTTGCTCATGTCGAATTGATGGTCCGAGGAGGTGCTATTGAGACTGTTGGCGATGGCTGCTTGTGCAGCTGCTGGACCAGCACTCTGAGCACCATTGGTCATCAGAGATAAAACAAGTCCTTCAAGTCGATCAATTCGATTTTGCATGTCATCAGGCGAAGTCGCTGTGCCGGCAACCACTGGGTTCTTCTTGCGATTCCCCGGTGATGCATATGTACATGACGACGTGTCGCCGCGCTTCGTGCAGTTGTCGCATGGCTGCGCTCGATTGCATTTCAGCCTGTGCGTGTCAGCGCAAATTCACGGTCCAAGACGACAGTCGCAACCTACTTTCGATGCCGACATGGCCCACATGACAGAGGCACCCGATTTCTTTTCCGCACAACTCTGAATTGAGGATCTGTGGGCGACTGCCCCGCGCTAGATGAGGTCGTAGAGGGTGGTGTGTATTGCGGCGGCATGGCGGCAAGTCTCTCCCCCGAACCGATGAACCAAAGTGAGCGGAGTTAGCGTCTTTTTAAAGTCCGTTCGCGTTGGTGGTGACTCTGGGGCGTCCTTAGTCGTCTGAACAAGCAACGCGGGCACTGCAGCTCTCTCAGGTATTCATTCAGCTCTCAGCGGCTGACGATTGGGGTGATGACTGCGGGAAATAGTGCGCAAGGGGTATTCCGCGGCTTTAAGTCTTTCAGCGTTCTGCCTAGCTCCAGCAGCTGATCGTTTCCACACAATTGAAAACCTAGCACCGCCCTTCTGGTGTGTATGCTAATGATGAAGGTTCCTTCCCAATCACTGCCCTCGACAGCATTCGTTGCGTCCTAGCTATGCGTCCCGTAAAAGTGTGTTGCGCTCGTTCGCTCGTTCGTCCGTGTGTATACGCACAAAGTTCGTGAACCTGCTGGCCTTCGCGTGGAATTCGCGGATCCAGAGCCGTCCCCGTTGCGTGTGAGCGACTGGTGTGATTGCCGGGCCGTCTGCGCAAAGCCTCGAATGTATCGTGATCGAGTACGTGGATGGAGCCGAGTCCAACTCTTCGTGGAGCTACGATCGAAACTGCGCAGACATGTCAGTTGCCGATATCAAGGCCAGGGCAATGGTTCGTACATGTTCCTCTTAAGAAGCCCCAGGATGCCAGTGTCAAGTAGAAATGCGCGCCTAAGGACCAAACCTTCAATACGACCAGAGTCGTGTTGCGCCCGGATTCGCGACACTCAAAAGCGTAACAACGTGCACGGCAGTGTTTTTGGTGGTAGATATTGCTGAAAGCAGGCAGGTGATGGTAAGATTAAGGAGCAGCGTTCCCAACTATTAAGTCCGACGGTGCTTGGCGTCCATCAAGGCTTCCAGCATCATGCCGTCGCTCAGGGTATTGTGGACCTGACTAATATATGCAAGTCTGACTCATGCACGTGCGATGCTACACTCTTTCGTGGCTTGCAGAAGCTTCATTCATTACTCCCATGCGCTTCGTCGTTCCTCAGACTTCCTCGATCGAGGGCGGGGTCGCCACGGCCCACCTCCGACTGCTTTAGCCCGTTCCGGCGACAGTGCAGAAACCGTTTCCCGGGGGCTGCTGGGCTCTTACTGACAATGCCAGTAACATGCCTCAGCGAGCAGCTGGTGTGGGCAACGCGATCATCGAGATGCAGAGGATCGCTTCGTCCCTTCATCCACAGGCTTCTCAGTACCTTCCGCGCCTTTCCCGCTTAGGGCCATCTTCTTCTGCTTCGCATCCCATCTGTACACACCACCACTGCCAACATTGTACTGATAGTAGTTCTCAGTGCCGCCTCGGACAAGCGCTTTCCGAAAGGTGATGTTGATCCGTCCCTTGTTCGCATCTATGCCAGCTCGTTTAGGTATGCTGTGCAACCACATCGACTGTGTCTTTCCTCTCATCAACACCATATCCCCAGAACTAAGAGGCAGCTTGATCTGTCCTGAATCCAGAGTCACTTCGCCCTCTTTCGGCGCGATGGGCTTGTGCTTCATGAGGAAGTCACGCTTCGCGCCGAGCGTTAAGGACGCGATTGCTGGATACTGGCCAAGAAAGCGCTCGTCATCAGAGTGATATGAGATACTATCCTTGCCATCTGCGTAGTAGTTGACGAGGCAGAAGTTGTAGGTATCCCCCGTGGTGCCTTCAGTAATCTTTCGCAGCTCGTCCAGGCACTGCGGTATGGGTCGAGGCTTGCACTTAAACTTGGAAGCGTCTATCGTTTTGCCTGATTGAGCATCCAAGATGTCGCCATCTGGGCCAAATCGGCAAGTCTCGTCGATGCCGAAGACGGTTGTGAAGCGAGGTGTGTTGATATCCGTTTTCTTGCCGAAACGCGTGATCGTGTATTGCACTCGATAGAAGGGAAGTTCCTGGCGCAGAAACTCGAACAATCCTTCGGTGATGGCAAGTGGAATGTACGGGTGATAGTAGACAAGATCCAGGTCGGGCTTATCGTTCATCAATATGCCTTCTTCTGCGGGGGCGAAACCTAGCTGCTCTTTATAGGAAGCAGGCAGGTGCGGTACTGGAAACGGGTAAGATGCATGACTTGAAGCATCGCCAGTGGTCTCGTATTTGACTTTCTTGGGAGTCGATGGTTTGAAGAACGTATCGAGAGCGCCGCGTTTCATTTTTGAACGGAGGTATCGCTTTCGAAGCGATACCTCTGCGGCGTGATTGTGACCTGCTTGTCGAAGTGACCAGATGCAATGCCGTTCCAGTTTGTTGAACGGACTGTATAAATTGATTGCAGTGAGACCGAATCGTTGGGATTTGCATACAAGACCCCCAGGACCTAGGGGTCGGCCTGCCTCAGTGTTGGTCACGAATTCGGTGATACGGAATTCAAAATGAACGTGTGGCGCGTTCGTAGCGCGTTTCTTTCGCGTGTAGCACTGGTCTTCAAGATCGATGACATCATAGTGTATTCGTCTTGTTTGTGCCTTTCGCCACCTTAAACGCTAAATCTGTCAATCGACACATTAGAACAAGCAATATGCCTTTGCACTTCTAGGATTTAAGTAGACCATCGAGGGCTGCTGACTGATAGTAGATATGATCACTGTTTGTTGTCACGTCACAGAGAGGGCAGAAGTTGCACAGGAAGAGACTACATTCGAGCCTTTCGGTTCCCGCTTAATGCATATTTAATGCCACTCCCCAGATGAAACCGAATGGAGATCGCTCACGACTTGGCCACAGAGACACACTAGTGGCGATTGGGGGCCTTTGAACGAGCACCAAAATCTCGCAAGGCCTACGATTGACGTAACACAAATGGAAAGAACCTCTGATCGCTTTAATAAGTAGTTGGAGCCAAACCCTTGAGTAGGCCAGAGCGAGTTGAAGAATACTTTGTGTTCAAAGGTAGATTGTTGTTCGCAAGGGTCCCCTACAGGCTGCACGTGTATTTTGGTCTTCGCATCATGGATCTTTCTTGTGTTGATTGTGTTCGTCAGCTGTTCCTACTTAGACCTGGAAACAATTGATACCTACCTGTTATTAGAACAGTTCTGCCACCATCTTCGTGTGAAAGTTCTCCCAAGAGCGTGCACGTCATCAAGACACATATTAAGTTATTCCATTGCGATTTTTGAGCATGTATGGCGCCAGAACGTGCGTTACATTTGTCATCGATATATGGAGGCACGCAGTTCTGTGCCCTTGGAGGTAATCAGAGTCGTCGAACACGACTGGTCCGGCGTGCGTGGAATCCTAAGGTCACAAAGATTTTGACCGAGTTCCAGGGTCCTGTTAAGTTATGATATTCTCGCGGTTTGCAAGAGAATATCAAATCAAGCACTGTCATGCCTAGAGTATTTTTTGTTGGTTCCCTGATCAGGACATACGCCTGAACGGGGATGAACGAAGCACGAAACAGGTGTAGTCCTCCTCTGTAGTCTCCAAACGGCATATATAAGATGAACTGAACAGGGAGGGACACGATCCCAGGGCGGTCATTGTAAAATGTGCAGTGAGTACGTGATTGGTTGATGCGATTTGCCCACCCGTGACGGTACATGCCCCTCGCATGGTAGCTTTTTTCATAAATCGAATTGCGCTGGAAAGGCGTTCGCATGAGTTCAAGGAAAGCACAATGCGATCTGAGCAAGTTATAGACATCACTATTGATTTACAACAATGCTACGAAACAAAACCGTAGCCTAATGAGCCATGGCTTTTCCAATTTCACTCTCCCAGTTGTACGCCCTCTCAAATCCATTCGAGTGTGTCTGGTAGTCAGTCATAGCCTGGATGACCTCGTCTCTCGATGTGACAACAAAAGGACCATACTGCACAATAGGCTGGTCAAGCGGCAGACCAGCGACCAAGATGAATCTCGACTCCTTCTCTGCGCCCTCCTCGACCGAAGCCTCGATGCTGTCACCATCCTTCTCGAAAACAACGTTGTGGTACTGCTCGATTGGTCGCGACTCGCCGCCAGTGGAGAAGATAGTGGTGCCGTTCAAAAGGTAAGCGAAAGCATTCCAGCCCTTCGGTAGCGATTGCTTCACGCTACCGCCAGGCTGGACTGTGAAGTCCAGGAGCCAGACGGGTGTGTATGCTAGCTCCTTCAGGGATTCTATACCGTATGCCAGACCGCTGATGACCTTGACCTTGACCTTGCCGTCTTCCGAAGTAGCTTGGGGGATCTCCTTAGCCTTCAAGTCGCGGTATCTTGGTTCACAGGACTTGAGCTCCTTGGGCAGGTCGACCCAGAGTTGCATGCCAACGTTCGCCTGGCCGTTCTTGTTCTCGTGCGGCATCTCTGCGTGCACGATTCCGCGACCAGCGGTCATAAACTGCAGATCTCCCTCCTCAATTGTGCCCTTGTTTCCAGCAAAGTCCTCATGATCTACGGCGCCAGAGAGCAGATACGTGATGGTCTCTTGCCCTCGGTGGGGGTGGTCCGGGAAGCCTGCACCGACGGGGATCTGGAAGTGATCTAACATGAGAAAGGGCGAGAAGTTGCGGAGCTTGGGGGTTCCAACGGAGCGGCGGACTTTCGCTCCAGCGCCCTCAGACTGCTCGATCGCGAGGAAGGACTTGGCGATCTTGCGGGGTGTGGTGGTGGTGAACTGCTCATCAGGGATGACAGGCAACCCGCGGAACATGTTGTTGGAGGCCATGTCTGTGGAGACGGTCGTGACGTTGTGTTTAGGTGCGAACTGCTTTGTCAAGCGTGTGAAACGCGATAGCATATATGGGTTGTTGTAGATTGCGGCGGCAATTGCGATGATGGCGAAAAAGATAGAGGAAAGCGTCTTCATCAGTCGAACGGGCCAGCTATATAGCTATGCGATGAAGCTCGAGAATCTTCGAGGTAAGGATTTGAGGGTTTGAGGTACAGTCCAGCCATCATGACAAGTGCTTGGTCAATGGTTAGCAAAGCGGCGCTTCAAAGTCGCAGGCCTCGGCGTGCTTCTTGCTTTGTCAAGCTGAGCAAATCAACGCTAGCAATTTCTAACCGATCAGCGCCCCGGTTTGAATCAACCAATAGCAGCCTCCTCGCCATTTTCACCCGGTCCCTCTCAACCGTCTTGTCAGTCACTGCAGACGGCATCATTGGAAATGGATTAGGATCAACTTTCAGACTGATCTTAGGTCTAGGTGCTGACCGGTCTCAACATGAGGGCTATACATGGACTCCCCCAAAGGACTGGACCTCCTCACGTCTAAGAGCTCTAGGCTTCTCACCATCACTACTGCTTTCATCGCTACTATCTACCCTGATGGCTGTAGTGTGGCCAGAGAGCTGGTCAACGTCGGTCTTGTCGAACTTCCTGGCGGGAACCTTGTTCTCAAACAAGACATCAAGCTCTGCGAATGTCCTATCCTTCGTCTCAGGTAGCATGAACCACATGAAGATGATGAGCAGAGCGGTAAGTGCAGCGTAGAAGAAGCCAGTCATTCCAGCCCAGTTCCACTCGTTGGGTGAGAGCATGCGCGGGACGACGATGTTGTTGAAAATGCTTCCCTGAAGGTAGTCAGTACGTTGATCTTGACTTGGTATGACAAAGTTTAACTTACGAGGTTGTAGACATTACGAGCCAGAACGACGGTTTTGATCTTCAGCCTGGTCGATGAGGTCTCCGCAACGATGGCGTAGCATACAGGACCGACCGTGAAGTTGTAGAAGAGTGTATACACCAACAAGATACTTCCCAGAGCCCATGCAGCGCCTGTGTCGTCGCGGGAGATGACACCAAGACCACCAATGACCATCAGGAAGGAAAACAGAATAATAAGGCCCCAGTTATACAACGTCCGGCGTCCAATACGGCGCATGAGGAACCATGAGCCAACAGTGCCGATGACGCCAAGACAGTACTGGCCAATATTAAGGTTGAGTGCGCCTTCCTCGTCGAGACCAGACTCCCTGTAGATCTGCACAGAGTAGCCCATCATCGCAGCACCGCAGAGCGCTTGCGTCAGCCAGACGACACATGCAATTAGAGTACGGCGCTTCTCAACACCCTTGAAGCAGTCGATGTAGTTGACACCGTTGTTCATTGCCTGTTCGAGGTCATTGGTGTGCCGGATTAAAGCAAGGGCCTGGTCTGGATCGAAGTTCACATCCGGCTGTGGTGTTGTAGCCTTCACCAAAGAGGCCCTCGCCTCTTCGTAGCGACCCTTGCGTACCAACCACCAGGGCGATTCTGGGGCCATGTAGGCACCAAGGAAAATGAACGGCACCCACACCCACTGGATGGCGACTGGGATGCGCCAGCCCCAGTCATTCCCCAGAGTTTGGCAACCACGGAGCGCGCCTGCTGCGACAAATTGGCCCATCACCCAACATAGGTTGATGTAGGTAGTCAGGTACGGGCGAATGGTTGAAGGAGTGATATCCGAAGCGTAAGTGACTGTGAGAGTTTGGAAGATGCCCCATGGTAGACCGAGCAAGACGGAACCAGCCACGATCATTCCGATACCTTGAGCGAAAAAGTGGAGGAAGTTGAAGATGACTGACGCGAGTAGGGCGCCATACATAGTCTTCTTGTAGCCAAAGCTTTCAGCGACGTAGCCGTTGGCCCAGAGACCCAGAATCGAGCCGGCCTGAACTCCATTCTGAATCCCAGCTTGCCAGGCAGGTGAAATTCTAGGGTTGCCATCTAGGTCGAGCTCTGTGCCAAAGCGCTGGCGAAACTGATCATAGCCGAGGAAGGAGCCCATCGCTGCAAGGTCATAACTGAATATCGATCAACGGGATTCTGCATGTAGATGGCTTGAACTAACCCTTCCATCACCACGGCCAAACTCATAGCCATGGAGTATATGATTGCCCACTTATACAAGCGAACGGCTTGTCGAACAGTCATCGTCTTCTCGGCGTTCGTTGCAAGTCTAGCATCCTCCTGCTGTTGACGAATGTTGGTGCGGACAACGCTGAGACGCCGGATGGCGTCGTTGTTGACACGAATTGTTCCATCCTCGACGCATTCGTGTGAGACAACTGAAGGTCGTTCTCTCTTGCCTTCAGACATAGTATAGATAGGTAGAGTTGAGTGGTGACTATGGGTACCGGTCTTGCCTGGGTTCGAGAAATCAAAATACCGGATGCAGTCCCGCCTATATACTTAGGGCTTCTCATGTATACAGATTTCCTGAGCCACATACGGAAGCCAATATCTGACTTCGCCTCGAGGACGGTTGCGGCACGCTCTCAAGCGAGAACGCGCGACTGGCCGGCTTGCCATAGTCCATTACGGCTAACAGAGGCCAAGGTACTTCGACCAAGATCACCGGATACGTATTCTCGCAGAAGCGAGCTTCAATGAGGCTGTCAAGTACGGAAGCCAAGGTCTAGTCAGATCTGGAGGTCTGGGGTGACAAGTGCAGCCGCATCCAACAAAAACCCCAGTGGCTTGACCAGGTGCAGATCGCGCGTCAAAACGGTAACGCCGAGGCTAGAGAGATTGAGGTCCGACAACAAACCAATCAAAGGCGTGATCTACCCGGGTGCAGGTCGAGGATGATGCGTAGGCTAAGCACATGGTGAATCTGGGGTATCACATGATCTGTCGTGGCATTGCTTGTCGCACGAAACCCGGCCTGGCCATGACGATGCCCAGAGTGTCGCGTGGTGACGATGCTTGAAAAGTACAGGTTCAATAACATCGCGAAGGCAGCAAACGGCAACGACTTGTTCATTACGGGGCGGCTGGGCTGTGATCTCCACGTTGAGTGTCCAAGGCGTGTTGCATTCCTGTGTGTTCGCTCATCATGCGATCGTGTGGTCATCACCCTATTGACCGCTTGCAGCTCAATTGCATTCCTGTACGGAAACGACAAGCCAAGGTATAGTGCGTGTATTCGGCAGGGCTGTCCAGTCAATCAGTCATTGAAAAGGTGGTTGGAGTTACAATGAGCATTTTGGACGGGCTGCTTATGGCAGAAGCAGAGAGTAACGGGGATCTGGTCGCGTGTTAAGTGCGCATTGCGTGCGTGACCAAGCTGAAGGTGAAGGAAAATGCGTAGTACTGTCAGTGTCATTTAAGGAGATTCATAATGGAACACGCAATCGCGCGACGCGAAAAGTGCTTCGCTATGTAGCCAATATGCGTCATGAGTACAACTTCCACGAAGTCTTACAACCTAACAACTTACCCCAGTCTTCATCCAGCATGTGCCTCATCGCGTTGCGTCTCATGATGCTCTATAAAACAATGGACCGACTTAGCGCTCTTCAAGCGATGTGCTTTCCAGGGTTCAAGAGTGGGACTGGTGGGGGTGAACTCGTCTCGGAGCTTTGTCAGCCATCGTTAAACCCCATCTTCGAACACCCTCTGCTCTTATCGATACGCATCGTGAGGGGTAGCTATGTCGGAGATAGTGGTTGAGGGTGAGGATGAGGTTGTATAAACACGATGAGATACGCTGCGAATTAAGTGCAATAACTAAAAAATATCCAATATACTACGCAGCCACCCAATCCGATTAGGTTTCGCGTATACTCACCAGACCTACGACTGGCCATCTGAATCATCAATATGCCAAACGCAGGTGACGCACCACCGATTCTTGACTTCTCGAGTATGTTTGATGCACCGCACTGGATATCACATTCTAACCAGACTCAGGTTTCTATCAGAACGATCCTGCTGCAAAGAAGAAGCTTGTGGAGGATGTCAAGAAGTGCTGCTTGCACAATGGCTTCTTCCAAATTACAGGGCACAAAGTCCCTCTAGAGCTGCAGAACAAGATTATGGGCTGGAATAAGAAGTTCTTCGACCTTGAGCTGGAGCAGAAGAACACGGTGAACAAGGACACAACAAATACGTGGAATCGCGGATACGAGCTGATGAAGTCGCAAATCCTCGAAGAAGGTACGCTACCCGAGTTGAAAGAAGGATTTTACATTGGCGACGAAATCACAAAGGACCATCCGTACTTCGTCAACAAGAAGCTCAACTCTGGTCCTAACATGTGGCCGTCGAAAGAGATCGTCCCAGATGTAGACGATTTCAAAAACACAGCGCTTGACTACTACGGTCAGGTCGTTGACCTTGCGAAGGATATCCTCAAGGTCTTGGCCTTGACATTGGATCTTGAAGAGAGTTGGTTCGATGATTACAGCAGCGGTGCTGTTGCCACAATGCGCCTTCTGCACTACCCTTCACAGCCCGCAGACAGCCCGTCAAAGCTGACGCGAGGCATCGGTGCACACACAGATTTTGGCTGTGTCACGATCCTTCTGCAAGGCGACGTTGCAGGCCTTCAAGTATACGACTACTCCACAAAAGAATGGCTCGATGTCACGCCCACACCTGGCGCCTTCGTCGTGAACCTCGGCAATCTGATGATGCGCTGGTCGAACGACAGATATATCTCCAACCTGCACCGTGTCATCAACAAGAGTGGTCAGGAGCGCTACAGTATTCCCGTTTTCTTCTCTGGCAACCCGGACTACGAAGTCAGGTGTCTACCGAACTGCAGGAAAGAGGGCGAGGAGCCGAAGTGGCCACCGATCACGGTCGAGCAGGCGATCAAGAACGGGTATGCAGACTCATATGGAAGGGCGGAGAAGTACAAAAAGGAAGCAGCGGCCAAGGCGGCAGGAGAGGTGCTGGTCAAGCCAGGGCAGCAGATTGCTGTTGCGTAGATCACGAAGTTTAGATCAAACGTACATATTGCAAACCGTTCATGGTCTCTACATCGTTTCCGTCCGAGCCTCACAGTCTATCTGAGTCCCAGATGTGCTTCACTCGGTGCTTCCTCTGGTATCATGCAACTTTCTCAGCTCCTTGCAACGGTCTTTCACCGCATCAAGCTCCCGGGAACAATGGTTATCTCCAAGAACGATCTGCAAGATGACAATCACAGGTCTCAGTAGGATACACTCCTCCCCATACGCATATCGTAACAAATCTTGCCCGACCATTTCCTCGAACAGTGCCTTAATATCCTTCAACTCAGGATCGTATGGCTCCTTCAGCCCGGCATACTCGTCCCAGTTCCACCTCGCCTCCCCTTAGCCACAGGTGCTTGACAAGCTATGTAATTTGGTGCGAAGAGGGCATCATCCCAGTTCAAGATTCCAGTAATCTCGATGGACCTGTCGTCTGCAGTATTGGCAAGGATTTTTCGTGGATAGAGTTCCAAGCACATAAAGTGAAAGCCCTCACCAGCGTTGAGGAGCCCGCAATCAAACATCTTTCGAGCCATCCCGCACCCGAGCAAGATGTGCATGTAGACCAGAGTGATATGGTACGTAATGAATCGAGACCGGTTACTCCTGAGCACTGTGCTCCCTTGCGAACAATAGCGAAAGTCGTGGGTCAATACCAAGCTTCGTTCAATATGTGATGAATAGGTCCAGTAAGTAGTTGATGTATCTCCGACCAACAAGCCATTCTTCTATTACACTGGCTCCAGAGTGTACCTTGAACAGCTTGAGTCCAGATCCAGTTGTCGCAGAGGATAAGGTTGTCGTCGTCACCATAGAAGCTTGTTGGAACGTCTGCCTCCCAGATCCGGACCGTGTCGCTGTCTGTCCAGTCTCTTGTGCCTGTCGGGGTACGGTGGTATGGATTTATGTCTACCAAGATAATATCCAGGCTTCTTCCCTTGTACGCTGTGAAGAATCTGTTGATATCTGCCGCGCTCAATTCTACCGGTCGGAGTATGATCAGGGTTTCAAGACCTGATACAGCAAAACAGAAGTCCATGGCTATGTCATGAAGATCTCGTATCGTGATGGCGAGCCTCTTGATGTTTGGCGGTGGTGATCGAAAATGGTCCGGCACATCGTAGCTTGCGACAAGCTCCTCGAGGGTCGGCATTCCCAAGAATATGTTTGTGTCCTTCTGCGGAAATCTGACTTTCTCGACTTCACTGTGCGGCGAGTACACAGGCACCATGTCCAACACCAATCTTTTGAGTGTAGTTCCAATGGAACTGCAAAGATCAATGACCTGTGGAAGCCGAACCATGGGCGTTTCTTGGGCGTTCTTCGACCCTTCGCTAAATGTCTTCATCGGAGATATAAAGGCCGACTGAATATGTCGGGTTACTTCGGCGTCACGCCACAATCTTTCGTTTCGCCCAGCTTGACCGTAAGCCAGTGATTGAGGATGGTTGCTGCCGAGGTCGATCCCTAAAGTTCTTCTCAAGCAAGCATAGCTCACACAGTCGTTGAGATAAAGGCAGCGACGGTAGAGATATTTTGATGCGACTGCATGCATAGTGCGCGAAGTGAGAGTGAGTGCTCGTAACGCCTTGGTGACGGCACTCGTCGCATCGAAAATAGGCTGCTGTCGATAAGGGGACCCGACTAGCTGATCGAGCACGTTGAGTATGACTTCTGGCGGGAGTACAGAGGGCAGTCTTTTAGACGAGTTCTCAATGCACATGGTTTTGTTTGAGAGGAACCTCAAGACGGTGAGGTGTCAGCGTTCGTGACGAGTGAGAGATGGGGAAACGCAAAAAGAGCAACAACAGCCGACAGTGTATCAGCTTACCGGTACGTCATGCAGCGCTAGCATTGGGCTCTCACACCCTTCGATGCTTATCTTCATCACAAAAAACTTGTTCAGCGACTGTAGGACCACAGCTCGAAGTCGCGACCAATCGGAATTAATATTGTCAGCGTTTCGATAACGTTCTACCCACGTTGCCAATACCTTCCGCGACGTCTTCACATAGAGAGAGGCCTCACCAGCGTAAATAGTCATAAAAGCTTCGAAGCGATTGTAGATGGCGTCCACGGAAGTTGCTGCATCTGTATATCTCAACACAAAGACTTGGATCTTGTGAACAGCCCTATTGTCGACACGGCGAAACTTGGATGGACGCTGGAACCCTTCGACTCTCTCAAAAAATAAAGGTTACCCTAATTCCTCGTTGAACCGGTACCGCAATCTCACCGCAGCAAATTTCAGAGGGAACTGCATATAACTTACAGTGCCCCAGGATTGCTTTCATATAGGCTGTGGGCACTGAACCACCCCCGCGATTGAAGCGATGAAGTCACTCGAAATAGAGTAGATTTTTCTGATCTAAGAAAATTGGACCGAGGAGACATCAGTCAGAGATGAGACAACTCACGTTTTCCTTGGATACTGCCCTGCGAAGCATACTTCAGTGCACCATGCCAAACCCGAGACTTCAAAACACTCACACGAATCAGGATTGCGCAGTTACCCACTGAACACAAGATGCAAGACCACATGAGTGTCGCAAAATTTGAGACTGTCGAAGCTGTGAGCTAGAAACATACTTGACAGCGCGGTAGGGCACGGTAGTGTACGCAATCTCTTTCTCAACGCATGGCAGCACCACTTTCGAATCTCCGGATTCCGAGCGCTCGGAGGAAAGCCTTTGAAACCGGCAGAGCACATAGCAGTACCTATTCGTACATATCCTACAGGAACCGCAGAACGCAGCAGATGAGTAGAGTGCTGGAGTAGTCACAAGCGCAGTATTTATACATGAGGAGACAGGCAGCAGGCCAAATACAATATTCCAAGCCGCCAGGCCACATCACAGCGTGGCTTCGAAGATTTGAATCTGAGTACACATATGTCGACACATGCATGGAGATCAACCTGATTCTGTGGCACGTACTTGTTCTCAAAGTGCAGTAGTGAATTTGAGCCCTCACAGACATATTGCACGAGCGCGTCATTCCATAACACGCAGCATGAATTAGTACGTTGGCAGTTTGAACCCCAAAGCAGACCTTGAAGAGTTTTCGTAAACGTCGGCGACTGTCGCGAAAATTCAGTCCAGGCGGAAGAGGCAAGCATGAACATACGCTTTACGTATTTTGGAACACAAGATTGAAGAGGGAAGGTAGAGTGGAAACTTGGGGAATATGGTGGGTATTCGGCGAGCAGCAGATCTCCTCAAATCTGATGACGAGGTTACGTTGTGCCTTTCGTGACACAGTCCCACAATACTCGTGGCGAACGTCGCGGGGTTAGTTCGTCGGATACAGGAGATGCATGGATGGGTATTGTAGTACCAAGCTTACATCATCCGGTCGGGAAGTTTAGCGTCCTCGCACAGCATACGTCGAGACTGTGCGTTATTTTTGAACTGGCGTGTATGACGATAATAAGGTTTTCGATGTTGGTAAGACTGCGTAGTGCAACAACGGAGAGCAGAAACGAGTCCTCGGCAGGTATTCATAGCATGCAACACAGACCGTCTCACCCCAGACATACGATGAATTTAACCTTGGAGCAGCGGAACATACCATCTCCGTCACCCTATTTGGAAGTAGAGCGGGAGAGCAACGACCCATATTGAGGAGATTATGAACGTCTCCCAAGAGCACAGTCACCCCATGATTAAGGGGCAAGAGAGTTTTAGAATCGGCGACACGAATGTGCCGTGTTCTGAAAAGAAGTTATGGGGATAACCTGTGACGTTGCTCACTCTTGATCTCTGAGTGAGCAGAGAAAACATGTGAGCCGGTCTCGGCCACTTCGTCAAACAAAGAAGGCCGACACGCAAAGGCGTAGAGTGGTTTGTAACGAAGAGCCATGCCGCTCCATAAGCGCAGATGAATAGACATTTGGTGACGGGCATTCAAAGCAAATCCAGCGGCGACACGAAGCGATTTTCGGATTGCATCCCAGGCAGGAGCGCCGCTCAGGCATGTCCTGGTGGCGTGGTGATTTTGGCAGATTCTCCATGCACATCAGGCACTTTAGTTTTGAGAGTCGCAGATTGGGAATGCCAGTATACAGTTGACACAAAAGGAGGAGGAGAGGGTACTTTGTAGTGAGATCTACGACATGAGCACGTGTGGCTATCAATATTTTATTATCATGTACATGGTATCTTAGTCTATGTTCTGAGCGAACGGCGCCAATAATGCAGCAATCGACTGTTTGGAACAGCAATCAAGCCTTGACCTCCTTCTCACCCTCTGTCACTGGCGGCGCCTCGCCCTTCTCGGCATCGAGCGGCAGACTCGCCTTGCTCTGCCCTTTGCTGGCCCTCTTTAACCTCTTCGCTTCCTTCTCCGCTATCCTCTCCGCTCTTCTCTCCTTCTCGACGTCCAGCCCAGTCTTGGTCTCTTCGTGATGCTTGTCCAACACGTTTGCTCCAATCAACAGTGAGATAAGCAATCCTAGTGCGCCAAATACAGCGTACAGGATCCACATCCTGCTCAGACTGTGCGCGAACGCTTCCCTGGCGATGACTCTCTGGGCTTCGGGAAGTGAGTTGATCAGACCAACGTTCGCGCCCGCCGAACCGCCACCGAATGATGATGCAGTTTGCTCGCCAAGCGAGGCGCGAAGGGAACCCTGTTGTGCCTTCATTTCGTTCTGGAAGATGACGGAACCAACCACGACGGAGATGGCAGATCCAAGGTTACGTGTGAAACCGAACGTTGCCGTTGCCGTTGCAATGTCGCGTTTCTATTGATAAGTTAGCAACTGTACACGATTGATAACGGCAGATTGATGTGGTGAGCGTTATCCTGGGCAAGTCTTTGGAACAGAGACCCAGCAAAAGCAGTCTACCCCACCGACCCAAAATTTGGGCTTACTTACAGGGACAAGACTCTGCATGGCGATAAGAGGAGCCTGGAAGTTGGGGCCAACACCAATACCTGCAATAACCTGAAAGATGATGATCTTTGCCCATCCGGAGTGGGCCCCAAGGTCGATGAAGAGACCAGTACCGAGGGTCATCATGAACATGCCGAACCAGATGATGGGTCGGTATTGACCAGTCTTCCTGATTGTGATTCCCGTCATGATCGAAAAGATGGACAGAGCGATCGCAGTCGGAAGCAAGTAGACACCAGAAAGGATGGGTGTAGCACCGAGCACAGCCTGGAAGTATAGAGGCAAGAAGTAGTTGCTCGGAATGAAGACGAAAGCGTGGCAGAAGCAGGTACCGAGAGCGGCGACGTTGGATCGTTTCGAAAAGATGCTCAGGGGCATCAGCGGATAGGGCGCAAGTCGCGATTCGACTACGAAGAACAGGCCAATGGTGACCGCACCGAAGATGATCAAGCACAGCACGATTGCCGAGTCCCAAGGATGCGCGATGCCGCCGTACTCGAGACCGAGGAGAACCATGATGGTTCCTGCGACCATAGTCAAGGAACCAAGCCAGTCAACGGCCCTCAGTCCCTTGCGCAGGGGTGTCTTTGGGGTTTGGATGTCGAGGAAGAAGATCAGGATGATGAAGGCGAGACCATCGAAAGGTAGGTTGATCCAGAAACACCTGTGGAGTGATTAGTACCTCTTAGCCACCAAAAGGCATAATTGGGTCTCAAAGACTTACCACCTCCAGTTGACCTTTTGTGTGAACAGACCTCCAACAATAGGTCCCAGACTGCTTGCAAGCGCCCATACACCTCCAATGATACCAAAGTACGCACCTCGGTCGCGCATAGCGAACAGGTCAGAGATGGCAATGTTGACCAGCACGATCAGGCCGCCACCACCCATGCCCTGGATCACACGAGCACCAATCAACATGTTCATGTTGACCGACAACGCCGCGAGCAAGGAGCCAACGAAGAAAATGGCGTTTGTGATCAACAGACATGGTTTGCGACCGAATATGTCTGACACCTTGCCCCAAATCGGAGTTGCGGCTGAGTTGGCGATCAGATATGCTGAACCGACCCAGGTGTATCCAGATGCAGAGTTGAACTCCTCGGCGATGGTAGGTAGGGCGGTGGTAACAATCGTAATGTCAAGCGCGACAAGAAGCACGGCGATGGCGAGCGAAAACATGATCAGGCTAATCTTCGCTTTACTCCGTTGCGGTTGCGCCCCGTCTTGCGCTGCGGGCGCGGCAGGTGCGTTGGCGGCGACATCTTTATCGACCTCTTCCTTGGATGCATTGCCAGATGCATTGCCAGATGCATTGCCAGATGCATTGCCAGATGCATTGCCAGATGCATTCCCAGATGCATTCCCAGATGCGACCTCCTCTTTGCTGTTGCTGGGCGCACGTGACGTCTCATCGCCTTCTGTCAGGGTGTGGTTGCTTTGCGAGGATGTCTTATCGACAATGTCATTCCGCGGAAAGGTCGAGTCTGCGGCCGAGTCCGTTTTCTGCGTCTCGCGCCCAGGCTCGTTTGCATCGGTGGACAGATCCATTGTAAGCAGACAGATCTAGGACGAAATCTTGGAATGAAGAGAGGAGAGCCGTAGCATGGTGGACTGCAGAATCTACAAGGTGTCGAACAAAGGTTAGGTCGCGAATTGCCTAAATGACATCGCGCTCGGGGCCGATGCGCGTGTCTGGACCGAGCAGCGGGATCGGATTGGATCGCAGACTCTGCGTCTGGACAAGCTTATTCCCGGACATTGTATACAATACTCCAGATGTAAGGACCGTGTACGTGTCAGCATCGTGGAGTTGTAGTTGTAGTCTGACAAGACAACGAGCATGGTAAAGTCGAGTGACTTTTAGTACGGCCCTGCCGTGCCTCCAAGTCTCACTTGGCAAGTGGTTGACAGGCCTTGACAGATCGCCCAGTCCATGGTAGCAGACGTGTGATTCGATCATCGAGGAGACCCGGTTCCCTTATCGACGGGCGATGCTATCTACCAAGCAGGATCTGGGGCGGTTTTCATGTTATGGAGCCGCGACAGAGAGGGCCCTGGGTGTGCATCTCGGGATGCCCGTTCAGGCAGCGTGCTCAACGTGCCTAATCAGGCAGCATGCCTCAATCAAGCCTTCGGTTAGATGCGCATGGCGTGCTCTCCTGCAACGTCATTGAACAATTCATGCTCTCGATTGCAGCATACGAGGAGCAGCGCAACAGCGCGCATAGTTTGGCCTCCTCTGGAATTAGCAATTGCAACGCTGGGGTTCGGCATGCAAGCAAGATGCTCTGGGGCTGTTGAACCCTTTAACCCCACCGCGCTACATCTAGCGGTGCTTCTAGTATTCTAGTGGGGAGGGGGAGCGCGGAAGGGAACTTTGCGTGGCGTCCTTACTTGGTGAACAACGGAGCTTGCGGTTGCAAACGACGGATGTGAACATCTCGATGATCGCGCTGGTGAGTGTGTTTTGGTCGAGCTTGCGCGCGCCGTTTTCGTCATATCTGGGGCCAATCTCCACATGTTCCGCCCAGTGCCGAGCATGCAGCGCTGTGGAGGAGAGCGTTTGAGCGTCCGCTTGAGCGTCCCATTCAAGGCCAGCTGAGCGCGGCCACTGTGGGTTGCGTCACGCCCCGAGTGGTGAGCGTGGTGTTGAGGTGCTAAGCTGCAAGGCTAGACTATCTCGCAGGCACCCTGGCGAGTAGCAGAGGGCCAGGGCAGTACCTACTGAGTGCAGCGCGTCCACGGTTCCAAGCGCGGCACTCTGGGAACGTCGTCAGCCTCCTCTCACTGTTGGCTGGGAGGCTGTCTGATTGCAGCAGCCCCTCACCTTCCCCGCCTGCAGACCAGCCTGCGCGTGGAGGATGCGACCTGTTCCGCGAGGCTCGCCGTGGACCGCAGACTGCTGGCCGCGTAAACTCGACGGTCCAGGCTTTCGCGGGCTTTCGTTGGCATGCACAGCCGATCAGCCGAGACGCTGCAGCAGCCGAACGGAGCCACGAGCAGGGCTCTGCAGCAACGAGCAACATCTGCACTGGCCGAGCTGCCGTGGGTTCGGCAGGCTGCTCGCAGTTGGGCCTGTTGCTGCAGCATGGTAGGATTGTAAGCAGAAGGTCTCCCTGAGCAGACAGTGGGCCGGCTTATCGTGCCTGTTGCGTTCCATGGAGCGCGCGGAGGCCCAAGTGGACGCAAGCATGCATCGGCAGCATCGCGCGCCCTTGAAGGCTTGAACTTTCCGTGGGTCTGGGGAGGCATTTTGCCTTGGCCTTGCGCACTAAACTAGGCCTCGCCGCCAATTCGTTCTCCCCGGCGCCTCCAGGGCTCGCGCAACGTGCAAACTCATTCTCCCTTTTATTGCACTCCCCCCACGCACTCACTTACGCTTGCACCTGCTCCTTCACCCGCATGCCCGCGACCCGCACGCCCACAACTGTCAACACAACAGGAGCCCCCGCGCCGTCTGAACCCACTCGAGCATAAGACACCACGCATCCGCATGTCGACGCCGGCCCGCCGAAGGAACTCCGCCGCGGGCGCCCTGGAACCGGACCTCACCACCTCCTCCCACTCGCTGTGACTGCTACTGAGGCACTGAGCCCGATCCCGAGTCTGAGTTCGCGCCCCCCGCGCACCGCCCGCCATGACCGAAGTGCTGCACACGCCGCGCGAGGGCTCGCCGTTTGGAGCGCCGCCCATGGCCCGCACCACCTCGTCGACGAACCTGTATAGCGCCCTGCAGTCGCCCCGCCGGAACCACTTCTCGCTCAACGACCTGCGCGCCCACTCCGAGCAGTCCGAGTCGTCGCCCGCCTCCTCGCTGCACTCCGAGTCTTCCAGCAGCCTGTCCCTGGACACCCGCCTGGACGAGTCGAGCAGCGAAGACGACGCCCTTGCGTTCCCAGACTACGCCAAGAGCCGCCGGAGCTACCGCACGGCGACAGATGCATCCGAGCCCGCCGATGCGCCGAGCATCACCGTTACCGGCGAGCAGCCGCCATCCTCCGAGCCACACACGGCTGTCGGAGGGACAATACCCACCGACACGCCTCTCACTACACCGGACCCCGTCCCCCAATCCGAAGATGACACCGCTGTGCGGAAGGAGCCTTCACGTCACGTGGACTACCTCTCGTACGAGTGGCAGGAAGAGGACATTTGGTCCTCGTGGCGACACATTGTCGAGCACAGGAGCGTCTACGGCGAGCGCTCCAGGCTCGAAAATGCTTCGTGGCGGACGTGGGCCAAGGCCCAGTTCAAATTGAAGACTGTGTCGCCCGAGACGCTCAATTGGTAAGTTCCAAGCTTTTTGATCGGCACCCCTGCCTTTAGCGCCGATCATCCCCATCCGTGCACGGATGTCTAAGTTGTGTCTCGCGATCGAACGCTAACGAACAACGCAGGCTCAAAGACGTCGACGTGACATGGTTGTACGGCCCACTGCAGCCTGCCTGCAACAGGCTTGCCTCGCAGCAGACCTCGGAGCCCGTCAGCCGCCTGTCCAAGAGCAGCTCGTTCTTGGGCAATGCGAAGAAGCCCATCTTGAAGAAGCGCAGCATGTCCGAGGCCATGCTGCAAAAGTCGCTGTCATCGTCGTCGTTGGTAGCCGAGGCTGCAGAGATGGCCCAGCAACAGCGCACACCGACTGGGCAACTAGAGCGCCGGAAGCCTCGACCAATCATCGGCAGGAAGACTTCCGATATCCCCACTGCCTCTTCATTAATGTCGCGAACAACGAGCCGGGAACCCACTGATTACTTCACCTCGAGATCGACGTCGGGTCTCCACTCGCCATTCGACGGCGAGAAGAAGCATATTAGGTTCGACGACAAAGTCGAGCAGTGCATCGCAATTGAAACCAAAGACGGAGACGATGATGAAGATGACTTCAACCACAACCCCTGGGCGTCACAGAACGACGATGATTCGTCGTCTGACGAGGGCGTCGTCATGATGAAGCGTTCGCGCAAGAACAGGAGGCGACCATTATCGAGGACCTCGTCCAAGACCGACGTGACCGTTGTCAAAGCAACAAACAAGACCATTGAAAAGCTGCCGTCTACGACATTAAAATATAGAACGGACTCGCCAGACGTCACGGAACAGCAGCAGTCACACTCTCTGGGGTTTTGGAGATCAAGTAGATTATCTCCTTCCCCTTCCCAGGAAACCCTGAGGCCGTCTCGCCCATCGTCAAACTTCCTCCTCCCCGAAGACGACGTCGACGAGGACTACTTCAACCCTTCTGGAGCATTTGGTGTACAGCGCCCCGCAACTCCCACAGCTTCGGACCCACATTCATTGCGAAACAGGCATTTTGAAGTTCCCTCCAAATCCGGCGGTCTCCGTCGGACCGCATCAGGCATGATCGCCCCCTTCGAAGACACGGACGACGAGCCCCAGCGGGGAGGCATTCTGGGCAGCGTTGTAGATACGGTGAACACGGCGCGCGATATTGCACACGTGATTTGGAACGTGGGATGGAAGAATTGAGAATACGGATGTAGATGAGGAAAAAAAAAGGTGGTCATCACTAGCGACAGGCGTTATTGGCTTCCTTCTACTGTACCATCTTTGGGCTGGGCTTCTTCACATGGGCACGGGCATACACGGTCTGGGTGAAAGGCTTGGCTGGCTCTGGGACGGCGGTGTACATTGTGAATTTAGAACGCTTCCGAAGCTCGCTGCTGAGGGGTATGCATTGGCGCAGACTATGGATATAGTTCTGGCCGAATGATAATACATACGTTACATCCATGCTTCTTCCGACGTGCATGTGCGGAGTATCGTGCTCAACAGTTTGTTGGAAGGATGACGAAGCCGGACCAATGCGATGGGACCTTTGAGTGTGCGGTTCAATATTGAATGGGGCGACAGCTGACATGGTTTAAAGTCAATAAGTGCACGATTACCCCAGGTTTCAACTGTGGAGCTCCGCTTGTACGAGGACCGGGGAGTTCCACTGTTGCGAGTTGTCGCGTACACGAATGGTATTGCATGTCTGGGTCGTGGACGAACCGAGTCCAACAGCGTTCGTGCAAGGTGCATAGGCGCTGACTTGCCCCGTGTTTTCGGGGTTGTAATGCACAATCAAGTGATGAACCACTCCCACGCATGCAATGCCTATCTGGAGGCCGTCGAAGTGTATGCAGTTCTCAACATGCGCTGCATGCAGTGCCTCGTCTTCTACCTTCCCAATTCGTCAATCGTACGTGAATGCGCAAACAGCACATACCCTGACTTTTGCACAACACGGCGGACCAGTAGTCGTGCCATCTCAGATCCACGAACAGACCGTGCGTGGGATGTCACACATGCACAGGAAGTCGTTCACGGAAGAATTACAGCCTGCGAACGATGCTGTCTCGGTCAATGGTAGGACAAAGAGCTCTCAGCCTAGCGAGCACTAGCGCCAAAAGCCCCAAGACTGAACGTGGGCCAGGGTGCTGCAAGGAGGCTGCAATCGAGGCAAAAGCAATCTGAGCGAAGGGATGATATAACAGCCACGGTGTGAAGCCGCCGCTATAAGTTTCGCCTTTCTTTCACCCGAAACAATTGCGAGAGTGAAAGGCCAAGTGTTCGCTGTTCTCGAAGTATCCATTAGACTTACGGCTTGAGGGCCTCAGAAGAGCAGGGGTAGCGTGCGGCAGCCAATGAGGAGCTGAGCCCCAAGTTGACACGTTCACGTTCAGAGCTTCCTCCCGCATTTATTTATCAACCGCCGCGTCCCAGCTGGCGCCTCTTCCACTACTACTCTCCCTCCAGACTCTCCACCCAAGACCTCTGCCCATTTCCGACAGCAGGCAATCACAATGCGTTTCTCAATTGGAGCCACTGCAGCGCTCGCTGCCGCCGTTGTGCGCGCCGAAGAGCCCGCCGCCGAGGCTTCTTCCTCGACTGCGGTTGCGAAGCCGACCTTTACTGTACGTGGCCCGCGAGAAGCAGTCTGAAGGCGCATGCTAACAATTGCGCCAGCCCACTACACTCAAGGCTCCCTTCCTCGAGCAGTTCACAGACGACTGGGAGAGCCGATGGAAGGCTTCGCACGCAAAGAAAGACGTCAAGGCCGACGACGAGGAGTGGGCGTACATTGGTAACTGGGCCGTCGAGGAGCCCACTGTCCTGAAGGGCGTCGAGGGCGACAAGGGCCTCGTCGTCAAGGACAAGGCTGCTCACCACGCCATCTCGGCCAAGTTCCCCAAGCCTGTCGACAACAAGGACAACACCCTCGTTGTCCAGTACGAGGTCAAGCTCCAGAGTAAGTCAACTGCACTCGATCTGTGTAGAATTTGCCGACTAACACGCCCACAGACGGCCTCGAGTGCGGTGGTGCTTACCTGAAGCTCCTCAAGGAGGAGGCTGCTCTTCACGCCGAGGAGTTCTCCAACGCCTCGCCCTACGTGATCATGTTTGGCCCCGACAAGTGCGGTGCCACCAACAAGGTACGGCACATGAAATTGCAATTGCCCGCGCACAAGCTGACAGCTGCAGGTCCACTTCATCTTCAAGCACAAGAACCCCAAGACCGGCGAGTACGAGGAGAAGCACCTCAAGAACCCCCCGATGGCTCGCATCGTCAAGACCTCCACCCTCTACACTCTGATCGTCCGCCCCGACCAGAGCTTCGAGATCAAGATCGATGGCGAGTCCACTCGCAACGGTACCCTCCTCGAGGACTTCACCCCCTCGGTCAACCCCGAGGCCGAGATTGACGACGCCGACGACAAGAAGCCCGAGGACTGGGTTGACGAGGCCCGCATTGAGGACCCTGAGGCTACCAAGCCTGAGGACTGGGACGAGGACGCTCCCTTCGAGATTGTCGACGAGACCGCCGAGAAGCCCGAAGACTGGCTCGAGGATGAGCCCACCACCATCCCCGACCCCGAGGCTGTAAAGCCCGAGGACTGGGATAACGAGGAGGATGGTGACTGGGTCGCCCCCACTGTCCCCAACCCCAAGTGTGACGAGGCTGCTGGCTGCGGCAAGTGGGAGTCTCCCATGATCAAGAACCCCGCCTACAAGGGCAAGTGGACCGCCCCCTACATTGACAACCCTGCCTACAAGGGCGTCTGGGCCCCTCGCAAGATTGCAAACCCCAACTACTTCGAGGACAAGACGCCCGCCAACTTTGAGCCCATCGGCGCTGTCGGTATTGAGCTCTGGTCCATGCAGAACGACATCCTCTTCGACAACATCTACGTCGGTCACTCTGCTGAGGACGCCAAGGCCCTCGAGGAAGAGACTTTCGCTCCCAAGAAGGCCGCTGAGCAGGCTGAGGAGGAGGCACAGGCCCCCAAGCCCAAGGACTCTCCCAAGTCGCCCTCTGACCTCGTCTTCAAGGATGACCCAGCTCTCTACATCAAGGAGAAGCTGAACCTCTTCATCGAGATCGCTAAGCGCGACCCTGTTGAGGCCGTCAAGTTCGTTCCCGAGGTCGCCGGTGGTATCGCCGCTCTCGCCGTCACCATCCTTGTTCTCATCGTCTCTTTGTTCGCCGGCTCCGGTGCCGCTCCCTCCAAGGAGCAGGTCAAGGCCAAGGCTGAGCAGGCCAAGAAGGCTGCCGTTGATGCCAAGGACAAGGCTGCTGAGGCTGTCGCGTCGGGCTCCCAGAAGGCGCAGGCTGAGATCCAGAAGCGCCAGACTCGCTCATCTGCCCAGTAGATGCAGGACGAGACGCGGAGCTATTGATGGAATGGAGGAAGAAGTTGAAGTTGTTTGATTTTATAGCGACCAGCCCCAGACAAGAGTCTGTGAGGCCATCGATATCGTAATTACGATGGTGATTGTTTCAAGGTTATATATCGTTCGGATAAAAAGGCGTAATAGTGTATCATAGCCGCTGTCTTGGATTGGCACAACGAATCGACTTTGAACATCATGACATGTACCATTATTGATCGCATCTACCATTACTGTTTGCTATCGTGTTTGTTATGAGTGCTTGCCGCAGATGACAACCATTTCGTCTCTCGTGAGGAATGGCGGAAAGATGGCAGGTCAGGCAACGTCTTGTACACTCCACAGCTTGACGGGGTTTCCCAAAAGTGAATCAGGCGCTGTTTTTGATGCCATTGACCGCTGACAAGTGATAGGGGAACACACCGCCCTGATGAGTGCAAGATTCGAGATTATGTTTGTGAATCGATAGGTAACTTATGGCGGAGTCTGCGTTCGGAGTAGACACCCCCATCGAGCTTGGCGTGTAGGGCGTTTACCTATCAGCCTTTGCTGTTCTCCGCTTGTCGGCGGCGCTGCAAGGTGCGGGACAAAGCTCCCCTTGACCCTTGACCTCGGGACTTGCGGGGAGACCTCCACATCAACCGTCGGCCACCAAGGGCAGGTCGGAGTCTGTTTTCCTTCAAAGCCGCGAACAGCCTTTAGCTTCGTAGCTATTCGTCTGTGCCGAAGCTTCAAAAGTAGCCGAGCCCTCTTTCTGGCGGTCAACTGAGCGCCTACTTGTCCTCGTTGCCCCCCATCCTCTGTCGGTTGAGCGGAAACATGGCCTCCCGTCGTGCTATCGCGCGCATACCGGCGCTGGCCGCTCGCTCGTCCCTCCACCGCGCAGCACCTCTCTGCACCAGGATGTCGTCCCCCGTGAGCGTCAACAAGGTCGCTGCCAGGCGGCTTCATGCCACCGCGCAGCACTTGAAGCCTGCGGGCGTTGCTGCTGCGGAGGGCTACCCCATGACCCACGAGAAGATTGCGTCGCCCGAGGACACACCGAACTTCCTCGACAACAAGTTTGTGGCTTCAAAGGCGACAAAATGGATCGACCTCCACGATCCTGCCTCGAACAACTTGGTCACGAGAGTGCCCCAGAGCACGGATGAGGAGCTCAAGGCCGCGGTCGACAGCGCTGAGAAGGCGTTCCCCGCGTGGAAGGCCACCAGCGTGCTCCACAGGCAGCAGATCTTGTTCAAGTACACAGCGCTCATCCGCGAGAACTGGGACAGGCTCGCTGCCAGCATCACGCTCGAGCAGGGCAAGACGTTTGCCGATGCGCGAGGCGATGTCCTCCGTGGTCTGCAGGTCGCAGAGACGTCGTGCGGCATTCCCACCCAGATGACCGGCGAGGTGCTCGAGGTCTCCAAGGACATGGAGACTCGCAGCTACAGGGAGCCGCTGGGTGTTGTTGCTGCCATCTGCCCCTTCAGTGAGTGCCCGTCTGGCGCGCGGGAGCGACGTGGTGCTAACGAGCTGTCCAGACTTCCCTGCCATGATTCCCCTCTGGACGATCCCCATCGCTGCGGCTACTGGCAACACTGTCGTCCTCAAGCCCTCTGAGCGCGATCCCGGTGCGTGCATGATCCTGGCTGAGCTCGCCGAGAAGGCCGGGTTCCCTCCCGGTGTCATCAACATCGTGCACGGCTCTGCCAGGACGGTCGACTTCATCCTCGACGAGCCCCGCATCAAGGCCATTAGCTTCGTCGGCTCCAACAAGGCCGGAGAGTACATCTTCGCGCGCGGGTCTGCCAACGGCAAGCGTGTGCAGGCCAACCTCGGTGCGAAGAACCACGCGGCTGTCCTGCCCGACTGCAACAAGAACCACGCTCTGAACGCGATTGCGGGCGCTGCTTTCGGTGCCGCGGGCCAGCGATGCATGGCTCTCAGCACGCTTGTGCTGGTCGGCGAGACCAAGGAGTGGGTCGGCGAGATTGCCGAGCGCGCAAAGGCTCTCAAGATGGACGGTGGTTTTGAAAAGGACGCTGATCTCGGCCCTGTCATCAGCCCCGAGTCCAAGAAGCGCATCGAGGAGCTGATCGCCAGCGCCGAGGAGGAGGGTGCGACGATTCTGCTCGACGGGCGTGGCCAGAAGCCCGCGTCGGGCAAGTACCCCAACGGCAACTGGGTCGGCGCCACCATTATTGCGAACGTCAAGCCGCACATGAAGTGCTACCGCGAGGAGATCTTCGGGCCGGTGCTTGTGTGCTTGAACGTCGAGACGATCGACGAGGCGATTGAGATGATCAACGCGAACGAGTACGGCAACGGCACGGCCATTTTCACGCGGTCCGGCGCGACGGCAGGCAAGTTCCAGCGCGAGATTGAGGCCGGGCAGGTTGGTATCAACGTGCCCATTCCCGTGCCGGTAAGTAGCCGTCTTCCAAAGATGGGTTTATGTCACTGACGAATACCAGCTGCCCATGTTCTCGTTCACGGGCAACAAGAAGTCGATCGCGGGCGGCGGGGCCAACACGTTCTACGGCAAGCCCGGGCTGCAGTTCTACACGCAGCAGAAGACGGTGACGAGTTTCTGGAGCAGCGAGGACGCGATTGCGAGGAAGGCGGATGTGGCCATGCCGACGCAGTCGTAGGTGTTGCTCATCCAGTTTGTAGCATTGCACATGCAGTTTGTAGCATTGCACATCCAGTTTGTAGTATTGCATATCCAATTGTAGTGATTGCACATCTAGTTTGTAGTATTGCATATCCAATTGTAGTAATTGCACATGCAGTTTATAGCATTGCACATCCAGTTTGTAGTGATTGCACATGCAGTTTGTAGTGATTGCACATGCAGTTTGTAGCATTGCACATCTAGTTTGTAGTATTGCATATCCAATTGTAGCGATTGCACGGCTTGATTCACAATGCCTGCGTACACCACTTTTTAATACATTTGCACTCGATCCACTTTGCGTGAAAGCAACGCAGTCGATTCACAATCGATCCGCGTCGACAAGGATGACGGTGCATGTGCGGAGGTGGTGGACGAGACGTGGTTATCTGACGGCATGCAGCGGTTGTGGTGCCGGAGCGGGCGACGTTTTCTACGCACATGTTTCGAAAGCCGTGGTGGGCTAGGCAGGCTAGTGGTGCAGGCTATTGGCTAGAGGGTAGCCCATAGGCTAGACGGCAGTTCACAGGCTAGGCAGCTTACAGGAAGGGGGCAGTCCACAGGCTAGGCGGTTTACAGACTAGGTAGTTTACAGGCTAGGTAGTTTACAGGCTAGGTAATTTACAGGCTAGAGGGCAGTTTACAGCAGCGGCGGGCTGTGCAGTGAATGGACGTGTCATGGTCATCATCACGACCGGATCATTATCAGGACGGATCATCATCACGACGGGTCATCATCACGACGAGTCATCATCGCGACGAGTCGTCGAGAGCATCTGTGCTGCCGGGCGTTGCACGGCACTGCCAGCGGACTTGTGGTTTCGAGATGGCTTCGAGATGGCTGCAAGATGGCTGCGAGATGGCTGCGAGATGGCTGCGAGATGCGGACGGCTGCGAGATGGCTGGGTGCTGAATGTCACCGGCTGTGGGCGGTTGCTATGGCTGCAAAAAGCATTTGTGGCTGGGTGTGCTATTCCAGGAACCGCCGGCCGTACCCAGGTATGGCAGGACGCAAGCGGATGGCCAGCGGCCGGTGGCGAGGAATGTCTGCATGCACAACAAGCGAGAAGAAATAAACCCGTTGTGCAGTGTTTTGTCCTGTGCAAGGGCTGCCCGTTTTCGTCGCCATTATCGCAGTACCCAGATATTATTATTAGCAAGTTGCTCCACTGGCGATCACTGACGTGTGCGTGTCAGAAGCCTGAGGCGCATCGTCCCCAGCTGCAATTGGCCCGGCAGCGCGTGGCAACCGTCTCGCGGTCGATTACGCAGCCCAGGCGCGCTCAACATTCACTACTGCGCGGCGCTTTGGGAGCAGCAGATAATACCGCCGCCGCTTCCATTGCCGCGTCGCTGCACCGCTGCACCGCTGCACTGCCGCACCGCTCCACCACTCCATCACTCCATCGCTACATCACTCCATCGCTACATCGCTACGTCGCAACATCGCTACGTCGCTCCGCCGCTCGTGCTCGCACACGAAACGCAGCTGTCGCACCACACTATCGCTATCGCTATCGCCTTTGCCCTCATCTGCGCGGATCCCCACGCACAGCCCACGCCGCAATCCATCGCCTCGCCGCGCTCCACCCGATCGCAGACGGTCGCTCGAGGGCTCCGCTCTACCCGCTCACCAGCCTCGCTGCAGCCATAGCGCGCCAGAAAACTGGGAACAATGTCGGCCGCCATGGGTCCGCAGCAAGCCAGGCCCGCTCCCGGGCGGGCGCGCGCAAAGTCGGGCGCCTTCAGCTTCCGCAGCCAGGGCTCCGAGGACAACAGCAACAGCAACAGCAACAGCAACAGCACCGGCACCGGCAACAGCACCGGCAACAGCACCGGCAACAGCAACAGCCACGGCAACGCGCCGTCCAAGAGCCCCAAGAGCAAGCACGCCCGCAAGGAGAGCGACAGCGAGCGCCGCAAGACGCACTACGACCCGTCCACCAAGGCGAACCCAAACGCCGCCATGAACGAAGCCCAGCCGAGTGAGTCGGCAGTCGGCAGGCCGCGAATCGAATAGCTGACCCGCCTTGCAGTCGCCGCCGCGCTCGAGAAGCCCACGCTCCAGTCCCTCCGCTCGTTCCAGCACAGCGACGCCCACGGCAACCTGATCGGTGAGTCGCCATGCGCACACACCTCCCGCCCGACCAAGTCACAGCTAACACGCCGCAGCCGAGCCCGACCTCTCCAACCCGACGCGCTCGCGATGGGAGCGCCCGCTCGACACGATCCGCTCGTTCGAAGCCGCCATTGACGGCGAGTACCGCCGGCGCGCCTCGCAGATGCGCGCCGACCAGACCGACGTCATGTCCAGCTACGGCGGTGCGTCGCGCCGCTCCTCGTACTACGGCGGCGCGCCCGACGCCCAGCGCCACTCGGCCAGCACATACCACGGCAACAGCGCCAACAGCGGCAACAACGGCAACCACAGCTTCGCCGCCCGCCCGCCCCGCGACTCGTACGACAACGGCTTCGCCCAGGGCGGCCCCGTCGGCGGGCCTCCGCGCGTCCGCTACGGCACGCGCATGCAGTCGGACCCCGGCTGGGGCGCCCAAGGCGCCCGCATGGGCCCGCCGCAGAACGTGTACGGCCAGCCGCCGCCAAACGGCCACCAGCAGAGCCGCGACACGGTGCACACCAACGGCTCCAACGGCAGCAACAGCGACGGCGCGTACGCCACCGACCCGAGCGACAACTCGTCGCTGGAGCGCTCCCTGCCCGTCCGCCCGCCACACGCCGATGCCGCCGAGCAGTACGGCGCCAACGGCTACGGCGGGCCCATTAGAGAAGAGCAGCAGGGCGACTACCAGCAGGGCGGCTACTTTCAGCAGCAGCAGGGCGGCTTCCAGCAGCAGCAGGGCGGCTACCAGCAGCAGCAGGGCGGCTACCAGCAACAGCAGGGCGGCTACCAGCAACAGCAGGGCGGCGCGCCGCCGCCGCCGCCCAAAGCTGCGCCCATCAGGCTCGGCGGCGAGGAGGGCGGCGCCGCGCCCGCGGACAGGCCGGGCGTGTTGCGGAAAGAAAGCGCGGGCGAGGACAAGCGGCGGAGCTGGTTCAAGCGGCGGTTCAGCAAGGACTGAAGACGACATTTTTACCTTTTGGGACACGAAATCATTTGAACGCGTACACGACGGCGTTGGGCGCGGACCGAGTCACTCTAGTGCGGTGCTACAGGAGCGTTTCTTGCATTGCTCGTGCGAAAGCTATGTGGTAATCTGTAATGCATGTTGTTTGATCTGCCTGTGATCTGCCTGTGATCTGCCCGTGTTTTAAGCCTCTGCCTGTGTTTTAAGCCTCTGCCCGTGTTTTCAGCCTCTGCCCGTGTTTTCAGCCTCTGATCTGCCCGTATTTTCAGGATCTGCCCGTTTTCAGAATCTGCCCGTGTTTTCAGAATCAGCCCGTGTTTCCAGCCTCTCCTCTACAACCCCTTCTTCTCGCGCTCGGCGTCCTCGGCCTGCTCTCGCTGGTCGTCCATAAAGGCCATGACCACGTACCCAATCAGCACGACGTTGGCCATCAGCGCCGCCAGCCCGCCGGCGTAGGTTGCGTTTCCTGGCCTGTTAGCTCGGCTGCACCCCGACTCCATGTACATGTGAGGACGCGCACCCTTGAACACGTAGGCGGCGGTGAAGAAGTAGGTCCCGATCGGCAGCGTGATCATGGCAAAGGTAAACGACATGAGCTTGAAGATGACGCCGCTGGAAAAGTCAGCCACGCTGGGCGGCATGAGCAGAGGTCTTGTCTGAGCACATGTCCAACATGAAGACTCACCGCGGCACGGCAGGCGACGTGTTCGACGGCCCCGGAGCGCCTCTGCCGTCGTAGTCCGCGCTCGTCGCGCTCGACGCGACTGTTCTTCGTGTGGTCATCTTGTGTCGTGGTGGTGGTGGTGGTGGTCGACTCGACTTGGCGTCGAGCCCTCGGGCCAATAGTGCGTGACAGCCGCTGACGTTGCGCGCACGGCCCAGCTACCTACCACTTAACGCGCCCGCGCCCCGTGGAAAAGCGCGAAAAGCGCGAAAAGCGCGTCTGGGGGTCGTCGAGGCACGAAGAAATCGTGCGGCTCTTTGTTCTTTTGGGATCCTTGCGCACTGCCTTTACGTCTTTTGGTCTGCGGCTCTGGTCCATTGCAGGCTGTCTCGTCGGCCGCTTTGTCTGGATTGTCTGGATTGTCTGGATTGTCTGGATTGTTGAACTGTCTGCATTGTTTGCATTGTCTGCATTGTCTGCACTGTCTGCAGTCTGCGTTGTTGAATTGTCTGCAGTCTGCTCTTTCACCGACCGCGCCTTTTGTCTCTGGCGGTCCAGCGCGCCTGTCGATTGCTGCGGCGATCCTTTCGATCTTGAACCTCTCCAAAGTAAAGAGGTCAACACGCCTTCTGCCGCACAGTACTAATGTGCCCCGACGACCCCATCATGTCCTCGTCGCCTCCGCCCGCCGACCTCATCGTGTCCTCGTCGCCTCCGCCCGCCGCGCACAAGTCCAAAGCCACACAGCCGACACAGCCTATGCCCGCGCGCTCGCCGCACGTTTCCACGCGCTCGCCGCACGTTTCCACGCGCTCGCCACACTTCACGTCCGACGTCACCCAGCCCACGCAATTGCTCACCCCGAAAGCGACCCGGATGCGCCCCGTCGACCTCGCCTCATCACCGCAACTGCAAGTCCCGCGCTCGTCGCCCGGCCTGGAGCGCCTCTCCTCGGCCGCCGCGCAGTCGCAGTCGCAGTCGCAGTCGCAGTCGCACCCACACACGCAGCGCCCGTACGGCTTCAACCCCATGGCCCCGCCAGGAACGGGCTTCTTCCCGCCCGCGCCCGTCCGCAGACCCGTCTACGACCTCACCGACGACGATGCGCCCGTCGAGCGCGACCCGGACGAGGACGAGGCGTCGTTCAGGTCCAACATCCCGCTCAGCAAGGTCGAGATGGGCGGCCGCGCCTCGCGGGTCGACGAGACACCGCCCAAGCCGAGCTGGGACCTGTCGGGCTATGCGTACAAGGTCGTGCAGCAGGCGTCGAGGAAGCGCGGCGCCGACGACGACGACACGCGGAGCCCGAGCCCGCGCGCGAAGAAGGCGAAGCCGCCGCCCCGACAGGCTGGGCCGAGCCGCGCCATGCCCGTGCATGTCGACCTGACGAGCGACACCGACATGGCCCTGTCGGATATCCAGGACTTTGATCTCCGCAGGAAGACGACGAGGCTGCAGGCTGTCTTCATCAGCAAGCCCGTCTCCCTCCTCTACAAGGTCCTCGTCGACAGGAGAGGCCACTACGAGGATGCCATGGCCCATCTCGCCGAGCAAGACTCGGACGATGAGCTCATGAAATCGCCCCAGGCCGGCGTTGCCAAGCGCACTGGCAGCGTTGCGCAGCCCAAGAAGACTGCGGAGCGCAAGCTGAACGCGCCCGTCAAGTCGCTCATGGACAAGTACTCCAAGGCCGCGCTGACATACAGCGCGACGGCGAGTCCCGCCGCCACAGACGCCGAGCAGCCCAAGAAGCGCAGGCTCGTCCGTGGGCGCAAGAAGCTCGTGTCTGAGAGCGACGACGAGCCTATGACTCCGCCGCGGCCGCACACCGTGGAGGCCAAGGCCCAGGCGAACAAGGAGGCCAAGGCCCAGGCGGACAAGGAGGTCAAGGCCCAGGCGGACAAGGAAATCAAGGCCCAGGCGGACAAGGAGGCCAAGGCCCAGGCGAAAGCGCCCGTCGTGGTGTCGGACCACGACAACGAGGGCGTCATTGCCATCTCGGATGACGACGAGGGCATCGTTGCCATTTCAGACGACGACTCGGACGCGGCCGCTGCATCTGACAAAGACCGCAAGTTCAGCACCGACGACCTGCTGGACTTCTTCAACGATTGCTCGGTCGAGGCCATGGTTGACCTGTCCGGTCACAAGGAGGAGGAAGTCGATGAGCTGCTGAAACAGCGGCCCTTTTATTCTCTGGACGCGGTACGGAAGATGCACGTCGATCTGAAAGCCAAGGAAGGGCAAGAAAAGGGCAAGAAGAAGGCGCGCAAGCCGAGGATCACGTTCGGTGCTCGCCTGGTCGAGTCTGCCGAGGACATGTGGGATGCGTACTCGACCATCGACTCGGTTGTCAAGCAGTGCGAGCATCTCGGAAAGCCAATGGTCGCCGGCATGGCTCGCTGGGGCATCAACATTTTCGGGGCTTCGACAGACGGCGAGGTCGATGCGGTCACCCTCGACGACAGCAGTGACACGAGCTCGACTCGCGACTCGGGCTACCACACACCGAAGAGCGGCCATGGCAGCGACACCGAGAGCGGCGGCCTCCGCAAGACGAGCAGCAAGATGAAGCTCCTGAAGCAGCCGGCCATCATGAACGACGACATTGAGTTGAAGGACTACCAGGTCGTCGGTCTGAACTGGCTGAATCTGCTCTGGCAGAATGGCATCTCCGGAATCCTGGCCGACGACATGGGCCTGGGCAAGACCTGCCAAGTCATTGCCTTTTTGTCGCACCTGAAAGAGCAAGGGGAGGGCCGTCCGACGCTCGTCATCGTGCCCGGGTCGACGCTGGAGAACTGGTGTCGAGAGTTTGAGCGCTTCTCCACCAAGGTCAACTTCACGCCCTACTACGGCTCGCAAGCCGAGCGCTTCGAATCGCAAGACACCATTCGAGGCAACATCGAGACGGGCCATTGCGACGTCATCATCACCACTTACGATCTGGCGTACCGCAAGGAGGACAACGTCTTCCTGCGCAAGTGCAGGCCGCAAATCTGCATCTTCGATGAGGGCCACGTTCTGAAAAACGCAAACACGGCGCGGTACAAGAGCTTGATGCGCATCACTCCAAGGTGCCGGATTCTCCTGACGGGCACGCCGCTGCAGAACAGCCTGCAGGAGCTCATGTCGATTCTCGGGTTCCTGATGCCGAGCGTCTTCTACGACAAGCACGACGACAGCGTGCAGGAGATGCTGCAGATTCTGTTCAAGCACAAGGCCAAAGTCACCGAGAGCGATTCTCACAGCACTCTGCTCTCGGCACAGCGCGTCCAGCGCGCTCGTACCATGCTGACGCCGTTCATCCTCCGCCGCAAGAAGGCCCAGGTGCTGAAGCATCTTCCTCGGAAGACCTGCCGTGTCGAGTACTGCGAGCTCACCGACACACAGAAGACGCTGTACGACGAGCAGTTGCAGAAGCAGCGCAAGATCCTGCTCGACCGCGCTGCTGGCCTACCCGTCAAGGATCACGCCAACGTCATGATGAAGCTTCGACAGGCTGCGATCCATCCCCTGCTCTTCAGGCACCGCTACACAGACGACAAGATCCGGAAGATGTCCAAGGCGTGCCTGCGCGAGGACACGTTTGCAGAAAGCAACCCCGACATCATCTACGAGGAGCTGCAGCTGTACCAGGACTACCAGTGCCACTCCCTGGCCATGAAGTACCCGGGCGCACTCAAGAAGTTTGAGCTCAAAGACCGCGAGTGGATGGACAGCGGCAAAGTCCAGACCCTCCTCGCGCTGCTCAAAAAGTACCAGGCCAACGGCGACCGCGCCCTCGTCTTCTCCCAGTTCACGTCCGTCATGGACATACTCGGCTGGGTCTTTGACGACCACGACATCCCCTACATGCGCATGGACGGCTCCACGCCCATTGCCGCGCGCCAGTCGCTGATGGACGATTACCACAACGACGCCAGCATCCCCGTATTCATGCTGAGCACAAAGTCGGGCGGCGCAGGCATCAACCTCGCCTGCGCAAACAAGGTCGTCATCTTCGACAGCAGCTTCAACCCGCAGGACGACATCCAGGCCGAGAACCGCGCCCACCGCGTCGGCCAGACGAGGGAGGTCGAGGTCGTCCGCCTCGTCACCAGGCACACGGTCGAGGAGCAGATCTACGCCCTGGGCGTGAGCAAGCTCGAGCTCGACAAGATGGTGCAGGGCGAGGAGCAGGATGACGCTGGCACGAACAAGGGCAGGAAAAAGACGCTCACGAGCGGCGCCGCGACGCCCGCGCTCACCAAGGCTGATGAGGCGGGCATCAGCGCTGTCGAGGCGATGCTGCTGCAGCAGATGATGGGCTCGGGCGCGGCGGATGTCAAAGACCAGTTCAAACAGGGGCTGGAGAAGGCGGGTTTGGATCTGAGCGCTGCCTAGGCGGGGCGGCGATGCGCTTGTTGGAATGCTTCCTTGTCGCTGGCATTGTCGTCAAGAGTGAGCGCGCAGAGGATATGCGGCGCAGAGGATATGCGGCCCACACTGGGCTTGGAGCATTGTGCATGCCAATGGCATCTCGTATGGACGAATTCACGCATTAACGCGGCGGGCGTGCTGACTGATGTGTCTTGCGATATGATATCACTGCTTGTAATCGAAACATGTACATCTCGTGCCGAGGCGTTCGTGCCGTGCATAAATACCCCCCGCCCTCCGCTCTCACTCTCTCCCCTTTTTCCTCTTCTCACACTCGTGTTTGCGCGGTGTTTGAATGGCACCGAGGAAGAAGCCATGTGCTGCGTTTCAGCCCCATCCTGTCCCTCTCCAACCGCAACCGCAACCGCATCCGCAACCGCAACTGCAACTGCAATCGCAACCGCAACCGCAACTTCAACCGCAACCGCAATCGCAACCGCAATCGCAACCGCAACATGAAATCAAAATTAACGTGGTCCACCACCGAGCGGATCACCCCACCGAGCGAATCACTCTGCCAAGACCACAACGCTTTCTACTATCAATTACAATGGCTCAACCAGTTGATCTTGAATTACTTTCCTGTGCAGATAGAGTTATACTTGCTACCCAAGCAATGAAATCTAACGCGTCACTAAGCCAGCGACGCGCTGCTGCTATCTACAAGGTTCCTCAAAGTACACTTAGCCATCAAGGCGCCGGAAGAACCCCACGACGCGATACCCACCCCAACTCATCTAAGCTTCAGAAGCATGAAGAGGAGGCAGTTATACAATATATAAGGAAGCTTGACGCTAGAGGCTTTGCCCCTA